CCACACACTAAACCCGTGTAAGATTCTGTTTTATATCATCACAATTTAAAAAAATTATTTGATCAAAAAGAGACATTTATTTGTACATTATATATTTTATTCACTTCTTCAGCGTCGACTACGCATGGCCGAACCATAAACATGCTAATCAACCATGGGTATCCTACGATGCCAATTCCTTTGATGTGCGTTATTTTCGGTAATAAGCTCACAGAAAATCTCAGATAAAAACTGGTTAAAGGCCTCGGATGGTTTCAAGCTATAAGATATATTGGGGGAAAAAATCTTACAGGAAGATAAAAATAAAGATAATTTTTAAATGAGATATTAAGAATTGTTTAAATATTGGAAAATCTTTTTCATAAGGTTATATAAATTTTCCTTATATATAATTGCCTAGTGTTTGATAATAAGGTCAATATTGACTATTTTAACTCAATTATAAATGAACGTTGTTTTGTCTTCCCTCAAGCCCCAGTCACATTAGAGCTTACGACCAGTGAAGACCAGTTCACGATCACCAGTGACCTTTGGTCGCGGACAATCTTTAAAACGTCTTACGACGGTCATCGATGATCTTTGACAGTCGCAGGTTATCTTATTTAGGTCCCACGTAGAGAGGTTTTTGAGCTTGCACAAAAACCTCCTTGCGATCAAACAGGTCGCTAGTGATCTTATAAGGTCTTAAGGCTGTCGCACGATGGTCGTTCGGAAGTGCGACAATCTTACGACAGTCTTTACAAAATGCCACTAGTCACTGATAATCCTAAGTAGTCTTTAGTAATCGTGTGATGGTCGTACGACAAGTTGTAGGTGATCGCATGTTATGTCACGGGTAGTCGTAAGTAATCCCAGTCAATCTTGAGACCATCGTACGTTTACTTATGACCTGTCGTGCGATTGTCAATGATGACTTGTCTTATGATACTCGCAAAAGTAAATTTATCTGTGCAAAAATGGTTTCGGTCGCAGACAATCGCTGATGATCGTCAGTTTTACAAGTCGCCGGTGGTCGCAAGTAATCGTAAGCTCTAGTGTGACTGGGGTTTTGTCATGGCGCGGCTCAAATGGTCACATGCATGTGTCGCCAGGTGATAGCCATGTCAGCAGTTGTATTGAGGAGCGATTGAACAGTTTGATCCAAATATGTTGCTTGTCTCAATATTTCGACTGCAAGACCGATCGATTTTATGATCTGATATTTCATAGACGTCTGTCTTTTGAATCGTAAGTCCATGGGTTGTGCGCGAAGTGCGACCATCGTCTACATAATAAAAAACCCTAAAGCGCACAATTTGTTGGGCTACTTTGTAGCATGTTGCAGCGAATGTTTACCTGGAGACACACAAAAATCATTAACACCCCAATACGCTTTTTTATTCAAGGGCCATAACTCAGCCAAAAATCATCCAACCGGAAAACATAATCAAATTATCAATTAAACCTTTTTAAGATTACTTTTATTGGCAAAAGAATGTGTTGTACATATATTGTATCAAAGTGTACATGTAATCGAGATGAATGCACGGCCAATAGAATTTTTACAGACATTATGTGACGTCATTCATTCAGTATATCATGTCTTACTCGAATTATCAGATAAGTGGAATACAATTATAATTTCCTAACCACACATTTGTTAAAGATTCTGTATGTTGTAATAACTGTTGTAACAATATTTAAGTGAAATTTTATATATGTGTATAATTATTCTCCAAACATCCGAGAATATGTTAAATAAGTACTGCAAATATTTTTACGCATTATAAGTAACCTTTAAATTTCGTATATGCATTCATTTCTTATGAAAAATTTGGCATTGACTTTAAAAAGCAAAAATAAAATTCTAATATAACCTCCCTTTATTTACATGAAATGTAATTTCGGTAATATTTAAATACATGTAATGCTGTATCAAGCTTAAAATACTGATAAATCTTCATTAATTTTGAGCATCATGTTTATGACAGGATAAAACCATAAAAAATTGAGTTACAGGATCTTTAACGAAAGAACACATGCCACTTCTGCGACACCTGAAATTTCGGCTGTATTTATATGACTTATTGCGTTCATTTATTGCGCATATTTCAATAAACTACAAGAAAGAATCGCAGGGCAAGATTATTAAGAACAAATCATTGATTTTACGAATTTATGTTTATGATGTGAATACGTATATACATACTTCAAACAAACCATATGAAACATTTACGTAAATCGAAAGCAGCAACTTATTTATTTTTTATGTAATGTCGATCAAAAATTTGAGTTTCCTGTATCAATGTTTAGGCCAAATTAAAAATATTCCTTGTTTGCTGTCTCCCGATCTTGCTTTGTGAGTTTGGGTAGGTAGGTAGGCAGAATATTTTTTATTCTAAACATTGTACATAGTTATCCTTATATTTCTCATGAGAAAGTAAAATGCTATAAACAGTGTTTAAACCTTCTGATTTATATTTTCTATCTTCTGTTTTCCATATCAAAGTACTATTCTGTTAACAAACTGGTTGGTTTATGTTAGTTGAATGAGTGGGGATAATTAATAAAAACTTTCTTGCTCAGGAGGCAATAAAAACTTTTGGGCAGGCCTGTTTTTATGGGTAGGTAGGGAGACAGCAAACAAACATATTTTTAATTCTGGCCTTAGCCTGAATGTTTGTCGGTTTGCTTTTTATGTGTCCATTTAGGCCTAATTAAGAGTTCAATCTATTAACCCATTACACGATATACACGCCTTTTTCACCCCCCCCCCCCTTTTGTCTCAAGTGGTGAAAAAATGCCTTATTTAGGCCCCAACACTTGTTTTTGTTTGAGAAATGTGTTTAAAAAAGTGACCACTTTTTCGGCGCGCCCCTTATCCAAAACGTGCATCGGGTGGGGGTGCCAGAAGGGGGATGTGCCCCCTTCTGTTTTGGGGATTTGAAGGAGGCGGCAGTCCCCCTCATCGCAAAGAAAATTTTGGACTTGTGAGAGGCTAAAAATGACCCCAGATCGACCATCAGGTAACGTGTAACCAACGCTGAAAAGCCTTTGACTCTATCTCAATTAATTGAGACGTTGCAGCACTGGTCCAGTCAACATTTGTGCCAAGTTTGATTAATATTGAAGCAGTTTTTATAGCAATTTGAACTTGTAACGGGAGACTTTTCAATGAAAACAGCCATTTTTCACAAAATGCTCATGAAGCAATGGGTTAAATGGGACCTATCAACGATTTGATTAATTTGACATTCATAATTTTGTAAAAACATAAAATATGTATCACATAGTTGAGATGAATGACTTTGGATATGTTGTACAATGATAAAACGCCCGATCTACTTTCGGTTTGCAACAGAAATGGGAAAACAGTGACATGTATGACATGTACAGCTTCATCAATAGATTTCTTTAGTTCATGTATATGGTAAAACCATATTACGATAAAAAAAATTAAATAAAATTACCTCAAATATAAACAATTTCTTCCTTGCTGTCCATTCAATGCCTAGATGTATTTGGGAAAAATATCTAAAAATCCTACTTTCGATTTCGGCATTAAAGGGAGGTAAATAGTAATAAGGTTCGCAAGTATGGTGTATCGTGTAGGTCAAAAGTCTGACACGCACATATATATGTCTATATCTTATCTTCTATCCAAACGGCTGGAATTGCAACTTGTGAAACACATTTAAAAACTGTATACTTGTCTATTATCTATGCAAAGGAATTATATAATGGATGAAGCATGTTAATTAATACAAGATATGAAAACTTTTGTTGATAGGTTTATCCGTGTATAAATTTGCCGTTGTTTGCAATAAAACACTAGTCCAGCGGTTCGGCTTAAAACCATTTATATAGGACTATATAACCTGTAAAAAGCATTATTGTAACTATTAATTATTACATATTAAATGAATATATACGATGAGTGAAATAAATTTCATATTGTTAACGAAACCTTGGAGTTGAATAGTATATATATACATAACATGTATATTAGTAGTTCAGGGTTTGTTTTTTGTTTTCAATTCATTTTCAATATCTTTCAGTTTGTATGATTTACAAAATACATAAGCAAATTAAATATGTAAATACAAATGTATATAATAATAAAATAGGTCAGGTTAAAATTATCCATCACAATGGTAAAGATGTGGCAGGCCTGTATTTTGGCAACTGTTTCAATGCTTTGCCATGAGGGTTAATGTATGTGGCTCTGTGTAACTCTTTGAATTTTGTTTCATATAAACACCAGTGGAAATGCAATAAATTAATTAATACTAGTATATAGTTAAATGTAATACTTGTATTTCAACTACATGTATTTCATAGAAAACCGTTCGAAAATTATAACAGTAGATCTACTATAGTTTAACTTCATTTTTTTCTCTTACACTAGTACTAATTGATTCCATGCTAGTTGCTATTTCGCAGCGTCCTTTTGCCCTTTTCTCATTTTCTCTATTTATAATTCACAGGCTGTTTCGGGTTAAACTGTACTAAACATCACATTCTTAATCCATTTGCATATCAATTGGTGTAAAGTGGGCCTACAAGTTACAGGGCAAATGCATGCCTATCAAAATAACTGTCCCCTTCTTTATCTCTGCAACCATGCATAATTATATCTAGTCAAAAATGTAAACATTCTGGTTGAATTGTACAAAAAAAAAATCATATTCTTTATATTAATTCGCATATCAACATAAATTAAGACTGCATGTATACTGAAGGGCAAATGCCTATAAAAAATAACTGTACAGTATGTATACACTTGTACTTAATTAATCTCGGAAACCATGCCTGGACAAATTTTAGTTATAAAATCAAAATATATAATCTATTGAAATTTAATCCTTGTTATTTGAACAAGGACTTTAATTACAATATTTAAGATCGTGGTTTTTGAAAGACCCTATAGCTGTTTTGCCCTGTCTCTAAGGAAACAAAACATTTGGTGGTGTTCATCATATAATTTCCCACGATATCAATCGCAACTTTTCGGCCCTTTCCGTCAGTTTACGGAGATGAATAATAGCCGAGTAGTTCCGAATGACGGAAGTGAACAGTCCTCCATTAAAAAAATTGTGCCATCTGTCAAAGTTAAAAATAACAGGAAATTTAACGCCGTTAAGGCGTTAATTGAGAAAATGACTTACGATTTGCCATGTATGTCTTACATGGCTATGTACATTATATCTGTACATATAGTTAACAGTAATTCACGGAGTTCTGTTGGTGCTAATCATTGGAAACTAAGTTTAGAAGAAGGAAAAGTTTTACAAGCAAATAATGACAAATTGGCGGGAAGTGTAGCCAGCACTGAAGACGATCCCTTGTTCAGAATTCTCACAAATAAGCGTGTAGAGGACGGACAATGGCTTGTTGATAACGAACAAGAATGTGTGAACTGTCGAGAAATGCAGCAATTGCCAGTATCAAGGTATAAATTTTTGCAGTGTCTAGCTGTAGGGTAGCTTAAGGTCTTCAGCGTACCAGTTTATATACTATGACATGACGTGAACGCTGAAGATAACTCCGTAGGGAAAGACCACCAATAATTGTGCCAGGAACCTGACACGCTCTTATTCATTCGTGGAACAATTACATGCCATGAAGTAAAGTGAGGCATACCTTGATAAAACTATATATAATCTATTGATAAGCCAAGGATGGACAAATAAAACTCTTATTACGATCATAAATTACCTAATAGTTTCCGACAGGTAAAAATTTAGGCACTTGCCCGCCATATTGCCAAAATGTTTGGCCATGTGATTACGAGATTGACCTTTACGAACCCATGTGCTTCCAATATTTTTATAAATTACTTTTTGTAAAGATATAAAAAATGGTGATTTACTGACTTTTGTAGTCAATAAAATCATAGTACTAGAAAATTAATGAAAATAAATAAAAACATTATCTTGAATAAAAATATAGAAATCATGTCAACTTAGAAGTTAGATATGCTAAATATAGTACACGACTCTATTCTAATCGGTTCCCGCGAATGACATCGTACAAGGTCTGGCATGGCACTTAAATGTCATGGCCTACTGTAGTTGGCGTTATTGATGTTTTACAGTTAAATAGGCAATTTTAATGACGGTATTAATATTTTGATACTTTAATTGGTATAGAACGATATTAAAATAATTGTTTTATCGTAAAATGCACAAGAATTGATTATGTCAAGTGTATTTGCAAGTAAAAAATAAGAATAAATAAACTTATCATATGTTATTCTGGTTAGGTTTCGTAACGGGTCTAATCCAAAACTTTAATGCGCATCAGATGAAAAACAAAAATGTTAAATCGCGGGTTTTAAAGTTTTGGAAGCCAGAACTAGCTGTAGGGCTAGTCCAAATTTATTAATAGCGGCTTAATTGTACTGCTTGGCGAGATATTGTGCTATTTTGTGTCTGGGCAATGTCTTGCCTCTATAGAAGCAAGCAAGATTTTGACCCAGAACAAAAATATCACAGAATCAGGGCTCGACATTAACGGTTGTCCGACTGCCCGGGACAACTAAAAGTTTGGTCCGGGCAAGTTATTTTGAAAAGCACTTGTCCGACAGGGCAAGTGAAAATAAAAAGCATCATTGACAAAATGCATGTACAAAATGAATAGAAATAACATCTTTTCATTTATAAACATCTTTAAAACAAAATACACCATGAATCATTATCAATAATGTGAATATACTACGGTCATGTACATTTGTTGATGTAGGAAACGGAAGGAAAAATATGAGCATGCGCCGCGATAAGGTAATTCCCCGTTCTAATAATAGACTATATCTAATTTTGTACAAGGTAATTCCCGGGTTAGCTGTTGTTTAAATTTTAATGTTTGCATGTAAAGATATCATTGAAAATATGTAAATAATCATATTGATCTTTAAATATAATTGTTAAATAAAGTTTTTGCATTTAAAATGATTTATTGTTTAATCTAATATAACAACATTATGAACACAACGAAGACTCGTTTACGGCTGTTGACTTGATAATTTAACGGGGAATTACCTTACCGCGGCGCATGCTCATATTTTTCCTTCCGTTTCCTATATCAACAAATGTACATGACCGTAGTATATTCACATTGAATAAACAGATGAACCGATGTTTTAGAAAAACTACTAAATACAAAAAATATTTGTGTCTAACTAACAATCAATTTCATAAACAATATGTCCAGTTTATTACCTAATACAAGAAGTATTTAATAATGTATGAGCTTGTTTGTTTTTCTGATTTATACATTTTTACCATTTTTAGGTCAGGACAAGTAAGTCTTAGGTCAGGGCAAGTAGTTTTAAAAACTACTTGCCCGACAGGACAACCTGATTCAAAAGTTAATGTCTAGGCCTGAGAATCTAGCTTTGGCATGTCAATATATTTTGACTAGCTGTATCACAAATTTAAAGTTCTAGCCATATATGCGAGTTATGTGAGGCAAGCCAATATTGTAACAATAGTGAACAGGACTCCTTAATGAAAGATAGGTGTGTTGATCGTCAGATAAGTGATGACATGAACTGATCCACGATATCAAACATTTTACCACAAATCTTTTGCTATCGACTTTCATATAATCAAGACATCCATCAACACATGAAAATTAGTTCTGAAAACATGTTTATTTTTCTTTAATATTTATTAAATATATATGCAAATATAAACTAGGTTATGTTTTTATTCTTTGCATGAGTATCTTAATTAGCACCATTCTTAATGTACATTTGAGAAACCTATACCAAAGTATTTCAGAAAATTGAAAGTAAATTTTGCTGGTGGGACACTCCATGTCACCTCTAAACTGTACTGTTACAATGAATTTGTGAAGCACACATACCTTGTAGTTCAGCTTGCTGCCCAAGATTTCAATACAGAAGTGTTTAGTAATGACTTTCCAGTTTGTTGTTAATTTTTTACTTTTACCTTTAAAAGCTTTGGGATTATAATTGTAGGTGACAGGTCATTGTCCAACTTGGCAAGGTCCATAATCCTAGTATGTATTTTGACAGAATTATAGCCCTTTTTGAACCTTTAATGTTTTGCATGCAACATCAATCTTCAAAACTACTGAAGGTATTCTCGTGAAACTTAATGCAAGCTTTAGAGATCATAATATAAACCAGAGGTTACTATCCAAGGCCTATAATTCTGACTGAATTATGCCCCTTTTTGAACATTTATAATTATTGGTAAATAGGACTGGGGCGGGTATCCGAGTACTCGGATAATCACGAATCAAAATGAAAAATCGAGTACGAATATTTGTCAGTCCAGAGATTGTGGATTGCGATCTAATTTGTTTATTATACATTCCCTGTTTCTCACACTTTTAAAAATAAAAAGAAAATACGATTTCAGTATGAATTATGGGATTTTTACCTAAATACAATTTGCCTATTCAGTATTGAAGACAGGAAGTTGAAGTTAAGATAAAATTGTACCATGATGCTGAGCCAAAAAGTCATTAGTTTCGAAAAAGGAATCACTTTATCTTTATTGTGCACTAATAGTAATAATGTTTTTACATGAAAATAAATATTAAATATTTTTAGTCGCTATTTATAGATTTAAATTATGTGACATGTATCGAATATGGTTTTATTTTTAATGATCATTTTCAAGTTAAAGGGACTCCACTGAGGTTTTTTTGACATGACGGGAATGGAAATAATTTTTTTTTAATTTTTACTCCATTTGATGTAGATCTATACTAATAACTTATGTGCAAAATTTCAGATCATTAGCTTGCTCGGTTTTTCCAGAATAATTATTATAATATCGAAAAATGACCAAAATTGAAAAGCGTTTAATCGGACTGAGCATAGCACAAACATATGATTTTCAATGTATTTCTTCTGTATTTCTTGGTGATATTTTATTAATGTTTATGTTTTAAGTGCTCATGTTTATCAATGTGAAAAAATAAAATTTCATGTTTTTAGGCTTATAAACCTCAGTGGAGTTCCTTTAGTACGTCAGTTTGACGTTACACATCCTGTCTGCAACAATTACTGAAAAGGAGAAATCTAAAATTCCACCAGCAAAACTTACTTCCAGTGTTTTGAAATACTTGTCCTTTCAAATTCATGTAATTAGACAAGTTTGTTGTACCACCGGTATAAGTCAGTTCGCCATGGCATGTTTTACAAACTGTTACTTTGGTATTTCAATTGAATGTCCAAACAGCGGAAGCAAATTTGCTGGTGGAATTTCATATCGGCTCAACTGGTTTTCAACCTTTAAACCTAAAGGCCGTTTTTCGCAAATTTTGTAAAAAGCAGCTCGAGTTGAAGGGTGAAAACTCAAATATAAGTAGATGGATGACAATAGTTTGTAACTTTGTTTTAACGGAGTAATTGGATACAGCAAATGCGTTTTGGGCTTGATTTAGTGGTAAATATCAACATCTTTCGCACATGTCAACAAATACGCTGCACTTTATGGCCAAGTTAACAAAAAGTATTCAATTTGCAAGCAAAAGCAAATATTGCTCTAAACCTAGAAACATTTAGCTTCATAATATTGTTTAGTTTGAAAAAATCGATGAAGTTATGATGAAGAAATAAGTTAAAACATTACCTTTGGTGTACTCGGTGTGAAGGTTTCTACTTTCGTTTTTGGTTTCTTTAGGGGCTATATCCGGTGGACTCTACATACAACAGTGATAATTGAAGGTCTCTGTCCAAGGCCTATAACTCATGGTTTCAACTGAATTATGGCCATTTTAAAAATAAGAAAATTCGAAATTCAGCTTTTACATGAAAGTACATAAATCAATTATAATCTTCTGTCATAACTACTGGAATGTATTTACATAAAAAATTAATACTTAACTTTGGGATTATTATTGGAGGTCATTATCCAAGATCCATAACTTATGTCATAATGTGATCAGGTGTTTTCAAGAATCCTGATAACAAGTAAAACATTTACATGATATAATATATCATTTATGTATGTAATTTATATAAAGTGTAATTTAATGTTGCCCATTATAAACATAAATTCTTTTTACTTTCAGTGATGCAAACCAGAAAGAGATGAATAATGATCAAAAACAGAACAAATCTAGCAATAAAAAGCTTTTAACTTGTGGGAAAGCTGCTAACCACACACAGTATGATCATCTAAGGGGGATAACTAATAGGAGCGAACATCCGCATATACCTGAGCCCGAGGTTGCCATAATGTTCCGTAAAAAAGGTGCCAAAAACTCGGAGGTTGATATGACAGAATTAGAGACACGATTGCGTAAATTAAAGAAGCAGGTAACAAATATTTCAAAACAGCTTGAAAAGCTTGTCCATTATCTTTGTAACAAACTTAACTTTTTAGCAGGTGCTGGTCACATAAGGGATAAAGGAAGGAATTTTCGCTGTGACCAAATTTAACAGAATTATGGCCCTTTGTTGATTTTTTCACTAGATACTGTTACGCCCCCTTAAAAGTGAGAAAAGGGTGTTAGCTTAAAGCTAGTCAGGATTTAAATATATGCCAGGCGATAATTAGGGGAAAGTAACATGTGTGGGAATTAGATTTGGTTCTACCTACTGAGAGATAAATAAGACATGTTCCAGTTCAATCTATGATTTTATTATTGGTTCATGATAGTTTATTCATGAAATATTAACATACAATATTAGTTAATCTGGCTTTAACCAGATTGTTCTATAATAAACAACTGAGCTTATTAGAGAAACATATATGTAGATCTAGTACTATAATATAATATCCGAGTTCCAACAAACAATAGAGAGAACAATAGAGTAGCCACATAATTACTGTCCTGTGAGAACGTCCGTCTGTCTGTCCGTCACAAAACTTGTCCGGGCTACTCCTCATAAACTACTGGTGCAATTTCATCCAAACTTTACAGGAATGATCAGTACCAAGTCTAGTTTTGCATATTGTCAGCATTTTCCAGTTCAATGATTTTTGTCAGAGTTATGGCCCTTTAATAACTTTTATTTTTAACCAGGTTTTCCGAAGGAAACATCTGGTTATTAGATTGAGGCATGTCGGCGGGTGGGCGTAAACAATTTCTTCTGTGCGCAACTCCTCCTACATTTCTCAACGGATTTTGACCAAACTTTCACAGAAGCTTTGTCATCAAGTGCCCTGTTGCATATTGTCAGGGTTTTGTGTAAGGGTGTAACAGTTTACCGGTATACCGATATATTGCAATATGAAAAAATAAATTTCATACTGCGGTACGATTTTTGGAAAACCGGTATTTTATAAAAATCATAATTTTCAATTAATTGCCTTCTAATTTCGTACAAATTTCGCATAAAATCTTTAATTTGGCGAATTAAAGATAAAAGTATCTGACAACTAGTACACTTAAAAGTCAATAAACGGCCGCATAATTTACATAAGCGGCCCAGATGTAAAAGGTCATGCGCGACCAGTTTTGTTTATCAAATTGTGTGACACTTTACTTTCTATTTATTCCTTACAATTTTATTAAGTTTCTACTAAGAATATATACATATAATAATAATATACAATGTTACACTATCTATACATCAAAACATATACACGACAATAAGTATTGCAATATATTGCAATACGCTTCGGCAAAATGGCAAAATATTGCAATACAGTTTTTGCCATATTGCTACACCCCTAGTTTTGTGATTGGATAACATTTGACCTACATTTTGTAATTATGGCCCTTTGTTTTTTTCCCTTATATAGAATATATAGTGAACAATTTCCCCTGTGCGCAACTTCTCCTAAATTTCTCAAAGGATTTTGTTCAAACTTTCACAGAAGCTTTGGCATCAAGTGTCCTGATGCACACTGTTAGGGTTTTGTGATTGGATAATTTTTGACCTAATTATGGCCCTTTGTTTTTTTTCCTTATACAGAATATATAGTGTAAAATTTCTTCTGTGCGCAACTCCTCCTACATTTCTCAAAGGATTTTGTTCATACTTTCACAGAAGCTTTGTCATCAAGTGTCCTGAGGCATACTGTTGGGGTTTTGTGATTGGATAATTTTTAACCTAATCATGGCCCTTTGTTTTTTTTTCTTTATACAGAATATATAGTGAATAATTTCTTCTGTGCACAATTAATTCCTCCTACATTTCTCAAAAGATTTTGTTCAAACTTTCACAGAAGCTTTGTCATCTAGTGCCCTGATGCATATTGTTGGATTTTTGTGATTGGATAATTTTTGGCCTAATTATGGCCCTTTGTTTTTTTCCCTTATATAGAGTATATAGTGAACAATTTCTTCTGTTGCCCAACTGCTTCTACATTTCTCAAAGGATTTTGTTCAAATTTTCACAGATTAGCTTTATCTTCAAGTGCTCTGCTGTGTATTGTCAGGGTTTTATAATTGCATAAGTTTTTACCTTTTACCTTATTATGGCTCTTTGTTTTTCCAGAAAATTTAATTATTATATAGTGTAATATATCCTATTAATCACAACAAACTTTATTTAGTTATAAAACAGAAACTTCATAATCTAGGTTGATGCATGCCTGCCAGCTCATCTGCCTGCTTTTTGGTCCTGTAGAGTCAAGGCCAAGGTCATTGTTGCTAAAAATAGAAAATTGTTTCCAGTCAGGTCACTGTTACTAAAAATAGGAAATAGGTTTCCGGTCAATAACTTGTTTGGAATAAGATATTTTTATGAAATTTGTGGTAAAGCAAGTTTTTATGAAGACCTCACTTGGGATGGCTTTTTGGCCTCCTAGGGTCAAGGTTACAGTTACTAAAAATAGAAAATTCATTAATCATGATTTACATTGCACATACAGTCGAGACTGCCTAAGCGACCCCCTGATTTAAACGACTCCCTGTCTTATCCGACCTTGTTTCAGTACTCCCAACGTATTTTCCTATATAAATGGTCTGAATTAAACGACTCCCTGTCATATGTGACAAGCGACCCTAATTGTCTGGTCCCAATGCAATGTTTTGTCTGATTTAAACGACTTTCACACCTTTTAATTGTCCGTTGATCAGATAAAGAATACCTATTATAACACCCAGAGGGCCAAAATAATTAAGTCCAATTATAATCCAGCACTGTAGCAAACAAAGTCTACACACCTCTATCTCAATTACACAGTTAGCATGTAGATACATGCAGGTACCAAGTGACGTAGCGTCTGTTCATGGGAAGCTTATGCAATCGATGTGTGTTATGTATTATGGCCTGAGTAAACTGGGTTAAGACTTGTGTTAGATTTGTTATTTAATTATAGAGTGCCCACGGAAGATTTTTTAGGCAGCATTTTTTTAATTTACCTTTCTATGGCTGCATTATTAATACGGAAAAAATATTGATACCAAACCAGAAAAAGCTTTGGATATGGATATGTTTACAGTAAAGATCCTGTAACACAATTTTTTATGGTTTTATTTCATAAATATGATGGTCAAATTAACATTTGGCAATATTGTAAGTTCAAATAAGCATAATTTAGAAAGATATCACCCAATTTAACATTTCATGTAAATAAAAGCCATTAAAGGGAGGTAATTAGAACTTTATTTTTTATAAATTCTAAGTCAAATTTTCCCATAAGAAATCAATGCATGTAATTTATTGATTAAATATAATGTGCACAAATATTTGCAGTAAACATTTTACATATTCTTTGATGTTTGAAAATTGTTTTATTTGCATAATTATATCCATATATATTTTTTTGCAAGATACGTAAACACAGTAACAATATCAATCACAAAACATACAGGATCTTTAAGTCACATTGGTATATAGACAGTTAGATGATTTTCTATGAGACTGTATTTAGAGACTCCCTGTCATATGCGACCTTTTTCTGAAGATCCCTTGGAAAGTCACATATGACAGTCTCGACTGTATTTACATTGTTTGTTGCTTGTATTTGTATTTTAACTACAACATATTTATCTACAATGGTGATAATTGAAAACATGTTTCTTGTTAAAGTTTGTCCGGACTACTTCTCTTACAATACCACTAATGCAATTTCAATGAAACTCTACAGGATTGATCTGTAGCTCAAGTCCTTGCGCACATTGCACGGGTTTTCCGGTTGAATGATTTTTTGGCCGTGTTATGGCCCTTTGATAAAAAGATGTTTTTTTCTGTGTGTTGCCAGATACACAAAAGCTTGTCCGGACTACTCCTCATAAACTACTGGTGCAATTTCATCCAAACTTTACAGGAATGATCAGTACCAAGTCTAGTTGTGCATATTGTCAGCATTTTTCCGTTCAATGATTTTTGTCAGAGTTATGGCCCTTTTATAATTTTTATTTTTAAAGTTTGTCCGGACTACTTCTCTTATACCACTGATGCAATTTCAATGAAACTTTATAGGATTGATCTGTAGCTCAAATCCTTGCGCATATTGCATGGGTTTTCCGGTTGAATGATTTTTGGCCGAGTTATGGCCCTTTGATAAAAAGGTGTTTTTTTCTCAGTGTTGCCAGATACATAAAAGCTTGTCCGGATTACTCCTCATAAACTACTGGTGCAATTTTATCCAAACTTTACAGGAATGATCAGTACAAAGTCCAGTTGTGCATTGTCTGTCTGTCCGTCTGTCACAAAACTTGTCCCAACATGAAATTGGCCATCATGAGGTGACACATGTGATCACTGATTGCTCTTGTGTATTGTCCCATGTTAACTGAACTTCAGTGAAGACAAAAAATTCATTTAAAAAAGACACATGTACAATCAAGTAATAATGATATTTAATCATTTAAGACCCATTATGCCTTAGAAATGCTATATCCAAAAGAATTTACTCATTTGCCATATACAGTTACGGTACATAAACTATCTTTTGCTTAATTTTGCTCTGCTTTCAAATTTTATGGTATTTTTAGTGAATTACTAGTAGTATTTTGTTTGGAAATGAACAAAAGTATTCTTTGTTTACATTTTGATACCTTTACGACACATCACTGCATGTTCAAGACAACTTTCTTCAGTTGTTTAATTTCATTACATGCTCTTAATCTATTATAAAAACATTATTTAACACATGTTTATTAAAAAATATGAATTTATGAGGCATAATGTGCCTTTTAAACAATGTTTCTTAATCAAGTTGATTTCTAATGATTGAAAGTTTACAGTTTGTGTTTTGTTTATTTCAGACACCAAAGTCTTCCTACACATACAGTCAGATTGGAAACTACTGGAGAATACGAGGAAATACACAACTGTCAATAGAATGTTTCCGGAAAGCTTTAGCCATCTCACCAAACAGTCCAGATATTTTACTCTATCTGGCTAGAATCTTGTTTAACCTTCAATATTTAGACGATGCAATTTTCCTCACGCGTAGATCTCTTGCCATGCAGTCAAATGAAGACAACTCCTGGCATCAACATTTTACACTTGGTGAAATTTTAAAAGCTTACGGTCATTATCAAGAAGCTAGTCTTCATTTTCAGCAGGCGTTACGATTGAACCCAGGATTTCAAAGAGCGGAAGCACACCTACGTGACATGGAAGGGACGCCCAATCCTTCAGTTACTCAGTACACACTCTTTATAATTCTGTTTCTAATTATGGGTGTGGTTTTTGGAGTAATTACGTCTATGGAAGCTAATTATGATGAGGGTAGTGATGGTAAACCTCAGAGGCACTTTAATCGGGCTATGGCCATGCGTTCAATGAAGCTGGGTATAAATCCGAGGCTTATAAGAATGCGAAAGCTAAACGGTGTATGAAATAATCATTGTAATCATTAGCAGTCTATGGAGTGTGCTTATAATAAGCCAATAATGCTATCTCTGTCTATAATAATAACCTGCCAGACTTCTTTTATACTTGATTTTTTAAACAAAAAAAAAAAATGACTTGAAAACCTTTTTGGGGGGTTTTATTTTTTAATTTTACAATTGCGGTTCCCGGTTTTTAAAAAGTTTTCCCTTTTCCCTCCAGATGACCCAAAATTTTTTTAAGAAAATAAAAATTTTGACAAAAATGTCCCAAAGGGTTTTTAAGAAAAAGAAAAAAAGTTTTGAAAGTAATAATTCACTTGTATTGTGAAAATAATGACTGATTTTGCACCATATTTCTACTGTGTTAGTCTTCTACAGCATTACTGATGCAGTAAGGGCTATTTTTAGCTCACCTGTCACAAAGTGACAGGGTGAGCTTTTGTGATCGCTTTTCGTCCGTCCGTCGTCCGTCCGTCGTCCGTAAACTTTTGCTTCAAATGACATCTCCTCATAAACCACTAAGCCAATTTCATCCAAACTTCACAGGAATGTTCCTTTGGTGGTCACCTTTAAAAATTGTTCAAAGAATTTAATTCCATGCAGAACTCTGGTTGCCATGGCAACCAAAGAAAAAACTTTAAATATCTTCTTTTAAAGAACCCAAAGAGCTAGAGCTTAGATATTTGGCATGAAACATCTTCTAATGAGTGTCTACCAAGTTTGTTCAAATAAAAGCCCTGGGGTCAAAATTGGCCTCATTGATTTTCCCTATATGCATATAGTATAAACTTAAAAAATCTTCTTTTAAAGAACTCAAAGAGCTAGAGCTAAGATATTTAGCATTAAACATGTTCTCATGGGTGTCTACTAAGTTTGTTCAAATAAAAGCCCAGGGGTCAAAATTCGCCCGCCCCGGGGGTCATTGATTTTCCTTATATGTGTATAGCAAAAACTTAAAAAACCGTCTTTGAAAAAATAGCTAGAGTTTAGATATTAAGCATGAAACATCTTCTAGTGAGTGTCTACAAAGTTTGTTCAAATTTCAAAGTCCTGGGGTCAAAATTGGCCCGGCTCCGGGGGTCATTGATTTCCTTATATGTGTATAGCAAAAACTTAAAAATTCTTCTTTGAAAAAAACCCAAATAGCTAGAGTTTAGATATTAAGCATGAAACATCTTCCTAATAAGTGTCTACAAAGTTTGTTCAAATAAAAGTCCTGGGGTCAAAACTGGCCCCGCCCCAAGGGGTGTCATTGTTTTTAACTATATGTGTATAGTAAAAAACTTAAAAAAACCTTCTTTAAAAAAAACCCAATGAGCTAGAGCTTAGATTTTTTGAAAAGGAAACCTTTTTTGGGGTCAAACCAATTTTTGTTTAAAATAAAACCCCGGGGGTTTAAAATTTTAACTCGCCCGGGGGGGGGGGGGGAAAGGGGTCATTGTTTTCTCTATTTTTGTGTAAAAACAAAAATTTTAACATCAAAAAATCTTCTAAGGGGTGTCAAATTTTCCAATTTTTTTAAAAATAAAAGCCCGGGTTTTTTAAAAAACTGGCCCCGCTTGGGGGGGCCCCTATATACCGGGAGCGACCTCAGGGCCCCCTTTTGTTTGCATTTTTGACTTTTACAAAAATTGGTTACTTACCTGGATTGAAATTTGGCTGTTTGGAAAGGGTTAAACTTCAAAATTTTTTATTTTTTGAATAAAATTTTCGGATTTTTTAAATAAAAATTAAAGAAATTTGGGAAATTTAACTTTGGTTTTTTTTAACCCCCATGCACAATAGAAATCATTTGTCAAAAAAACTAAATGTTGTAAGGGTAATAAAACCGAAAGGGGTTTTTGAAAAAACCAAACATTTTGAGTTAATGAAGGTGGCGGGGCCCAAGGTGGTAAAGATTGTTGACTTTCAAAACAACCAGTGGCGGATTCAAGGCCCCGGGGCTTCAGGGCTCCCAGTCCCCCAGCTCGGCCCAAAAAATACTTTAAACCAGCGGGGTTTAAAAAAATATTTTTTTTATAATTTTCCCAAACTTTATTGGCTGTAGTGTTTTCCCTTATAAAAAATTTTTTTTGGGCTGGATCCGGGTTTTGTTAATGTCCTGCCGGGGGTTTGGGGGCGGGAGATCTTTAAATCTATCAACTTTGGCTTGAATGACTTCCCAATGTTTAAAACCTGCATAATTGGATTTGGGTTTATAACTTTCCAAAGGTATCTAAATGAAATTAATATCACAGATAATTGGCAAATACGAATGTGGTTACATTTGTACACTATATTTTTACTTCTTTAGTTTTTTTTTTTCCATTTTCTTTTGCGAAAGCCGCCTAATAATTAAAAAAAAATTTTGAATATTATTTGAAATTAAAAACATGGGCCCGAGTTTTATGAAGATATTATTAAAGGGGGAATCTCGTAACCTTTAATAACTAGTTTTACCCTAAAGTATTTTTATCAAGCATTGAAAATGATTGGTCCCATTTACTTTTAAATAATTAACTTTTTATGACAGTTTAATATTTTTCTGAAGATAAAAATTTAAAATATAGTGGAACGCTCTGGATTTCATTGATGAAAAAAATTCTTATTGAAATATTTACTGTTTTAAACATATTTTTAATTTATTCAATTTTTTTACAAGCATGTAACATTTTTAAAACCAATCAAAATATATATGGATTGGAAAACAAAAAATAATTAAGCCTGTTTCGAATCATTTATGTTTCTTTGTACGATATAGAGAAGGCAGATTTTTAATACCACTTTAAAATATTCAATCATGAAAAAATTGATTCAGTATTTGGGAAATTATTTTTTATCAACGGTCGGCAATACATTGGTAAATGAAAGTGTGTTGTTCTTTTGGTAAAATGCGTAATACTAAAACCCTGAGGAATTCTATTTGAAAGACCTTGCAACCACTAACCTATAAAAAATAATGTGATGGTTAAATCCAAAAGGTACCAAAAAACAGAACAAGAAATCAAAGAAAACACCTTTTCAACCCAAATTTTCAATAATTTTTCAAAATTTTTTGGCATGGGGAAGGGGACAACCCCTCCCAACCCCACCCTGAATTACATATATAAGCAAAGTAAAAATTGGGGCCAAACTTTTAAAAAATTGAGCTAAAAAATACTTTAAATTTAAAAAATTTTTTTGTCACATGAACAAAAATGCGGTCAAATTTTTTAAAACAGCACATTTTTGGGCCTGTTGCGTTTTTTTAAAAAATTTTCCCCACCCAAAATGTCCCCCCCCCGGGAAACCATTTTCCCTTGAAATTCGCCCCTGACAATTTTGCCCCCACCACTGGGTTCGCCCTGCAAGGGTTTTTTAAATTTTTTTCAGGGTGAAAAAAGCTACCCTATTTAGCTTACACCTGACATTGGGGGGTTTTCGGGCTATTGGTGGTTCTGCCGGTGATTTTGGTATTGTTTGTGTTAAAATTTATGTAAAGAGGCGGAATTTTTAAAGGTCTTCCTCCCCCGGGGTAAAAGGGGCCCATAATCCCCCGGGTATTGGGGGTGACATAAAACCCAGTCGAATAAAAATATGTAAATGTGTATTCAGACCTATTAGTCATCATTTATTGAGGATGGTCTTTATCATGACAGGGGTGTGAAACCCCTTTAATTTTAGGTTATTAACGGGTTTTGAAAAGGTCACAAAAGGGATGATAAAATTTTAGCGTTTTTTGACGGGGGAGCAAAATTTATCACCTAAAACTTATGGAGGGTTTTTAATGAAATTTTTAAAAATGTTCAAGCACTTTGAGAAGCAAGTGTCCCATTCATAAACCAGATCAAAGGTCAAGGTCAAACTTAAAGGTCATTGAAAAATGCTTGTTTGGAGCAAAAGTACATTCATCAGGTGTTTTAAAGTAACTTGGCACAAATGTTCACCATCGTGAGACTAAGTATTGCATGCATAATCCAGGTCCCTGCTACCAAAGTCGAGGTCACATAAAGAGGTCAAAGTTAAGATAAAACAGAAGATGTGTAAAGGGACCATTTAGTCCTCATTTATTGATGGATTGGCAACACATTAAAATATACATGAATTACAAGTGTACACATGGAATTTTGGGTTTTTTAATGTTTGGCAACTGTTTAGGTCAAGCGAAGGAGCAAAAGAGCCAAGAAGTTATTTCCCCAGAAGCAATATCCCTAAATGCATTTCTAAAATGCCCATATCTTGTCAAAAGCTTTTGTGACAGGCATATTTTGCGACAATGTTGCCTTGTTCATACTTGATATTCCTTATTTAAAAGAATTCAACTCCAATTGGCATTCAAGAGCACACAGTGGTAGAAGCCCAAATTATTTTACAAAAGGTCAGTGGAAAGCGAAAATTTTATAAGACAAAAATTATTCCCATCCTCCTCCATACTTATGCACATTCATCAAATGGCCTGCCAACGCAGGCTTATAATAACCCCAAATGATCCTTCAGGATGCCAATATTTCCCCCCTCCGGGGACAAAACCCCCCCGAAATTTTCGGACCCAAAATGTCCCCGTGATCTCCCCGTGGGATTCTGAAATCCCCCGATTTTCAAAAATTCAAACCAACAAAAGAATTTAAAAGCAACCAATTTTTACCAAAATTATTAAACAATAGAATTAAAACTTTTAAACTATATATGCCCCTGAAAGTAAATATTTCCCCGCGATAAAACAGCAGGCGGGTCAACGGATAATTGTTGTGTTGAGTGTACCCGCACAAGAGCCCCCGGCCGATGTTGGGAGTGTGTACCGACACATTCTTCAGCTGTCAAGGAATAAACAATTCTCCTTTGATAAACCTGTCAATCAGTGTCAGTATTGCAGGTGCTTAACCAATGACAGCGTCCGATACTGAATGTGTAACGTATCAATTTTTTGTTGGGAGATATGTAACCCCGCCTTGAGTTTGTTGTCGGCATTGGGTCTTTGAAGTTGATAAGTGCAGATAAAAAAATAATGATCAGGCAATAGAAAACTCAAAGAATCACAGATTAGCAATGTTTGAAACTATTATATTTTATATTATGCATTTCTTATTAATGTAATATGAATCTATGTTGTTACATAAAATAATATAAACTACAGTAGCTTTGTCTCTAAACGGTAACCAACAAACAATGATGAAGGGATTAAAAGAGGCAAAAAATCCGTTTCAATCAGATAATATAATAAATAATACCTGTTTTGACACCCAAAGGGCCAAAATAATTAAGTCCAATTATTATCCAGTAGTCAGTACACTCCAAATAACCTTTACACAACCCTTTATCAATTACACAAAGTTTACATATACATACAGGTATAAAGTGACGTAGTGTCTAGACTCCATACTAACTACCATAATATGGTAAGCATGGGCAATCGATGTGTGTTAACAAATTTGAGGTGTTAAAGTACATAATGACCTGAGTAAACTGGATTAAAATTTTGTCAGATTTTTTTTTTACTGTTTATGAAGTGTCAACGGAAAATTTTTAAAGGCAGCCATTTTTTTATTTCACCTTTCTATGGCTTGCAAAAATTCTCGTGAAAATGTTGATACCTTTCATTTAGAGAAAAATTCTTTACCTTTCATTTTAAAGAGAAAAAAACTTTGGCTGTTAAAAGTATATTTATTTTAATGATTTTGAATGCATCAAATTCAAGTTTATTTGTACTAATATGATTCAATATATCTGATATAAAAATGTATTTTATATGATAAAGATTCAATTAATTATATTTGTTTTACAAATTACAGGGATTCTTATTTTATTTACATCAAATATTTAAAGTACCTATGTTTATTTGCAATTGTTTATATATTATTCCTTCACAGTCATGTATGTTTAAACTTGAAAATATCAAATGATCTTGTAGAAATGTTCATTTTCATAATAAAATGGGGGAAATTTAATCATATCATTGCATCGTTTTAAGATTACGACCGGTTTGTGCTTGCTTAAAAATCCCCCACCTTTGGTCCAAATCCCCTGCTTTTTAAAGCCAAATCCCCCTATCTGGGTGGCTGGAAATATGGCATGTATGTTGCCAATCACATGCTGCATTCAATTATATAAACACCTTCAGATGCCACATAATGGCATAATACATTATAAACATAGAAAAACACATGAATCTAAATGAACACCTTTGAGAAGCTATCTTGCGGTATATGATCACAATCAAATGTGGCATGCAGCTATATGTAAACCCCATCAGATGCTCATTCAGTTATATAAACACAATCAAAACTGCAGGCAGCTATATCAACACCATCACATGCCACATACAGCCATCTCAACACATTCAAATACCACATTCAGCCATATGAACACAAATGCCTAATTAAGTTATATGAACACCATAAAACAGTGTCTCTGTCAGGCAGCTACATGTATGTGAACAACTGTATGCAATATTAAAATAAAGACCATCGCATGCAGCTACATCTATATGAGCAAGAAAATGGCATACAGCCATATGAACTCCATCAGAAGTCATATGCAACTATAATATAATTATTTATATAGATTTTTGACACCCAGGTTTGCAAACTCCTCACAGCGGTTACGTCACGCTTTGCTACTTTAACTGTACAGATCAGGGGAAGTAACCGCTGCGAGGAGTTTGCCAGGTTTGATACAGTGTTACATATTTAGTACCGTTCAACCGTAAATAGTCTCATAACGTCACATATAACTTATCTTACACTGCACCGCTCACACGTGTGGTCGACTTCCGTTAAAAACACCGGTATATATTGCATGAGAAACTGTCAAAGGACAAACTTTACATAACTAGACATGTCTTGGTTGTTTGGAAATGAACAAAGCCCAGGGTGGTGGGCAATTACCACCAGGCTTTCCACCACCGCCTGGATCCGGCCGGGACAGTGGGGGAAACGATGGCAAAACACCGGATAAATCGCGTTCAGATGCGTACACTTTTTGACTCTGCAGCCCTTGAAAAGAGCCGCACAGGCAGGCTAAGACTTTGGAGCGTTCAGGTGATTATGTCATGAATACTTTGCCGTGACTTAAAATAATTTAAGTTTATTACACTGCCATTGTTTGCAAAACCGTATCTAATTATTCTGTGAAAAGGTCACAGCTATAAAGTTCCGTACAGGTGAAGGTCATTGGTATAGTTTCAAGTCATATCATCCCAGTCAGGTATGCTTTATTAGAATTATATGTTTGGTGGTTGTTAAAGTCTAATGCTTGAAAAGATGCAATTGATATCATTCAAATGTTATCTATTGCATTATCGCGTTTTTACATTTGCAAAAGTTATGAATGATATAACTCATTTTTTTCTACACATTTGTGTACAGGGCTGGCCCACAGGAGTGTCAATGCACATGTCAAAAGATTATTTATTTTTTTATTCTCTCTACTCTTTATAACAAGGTATACAAGTTCAAATTTCCTTATCAGATGCAGGAACAAAAAATGCTTATTGGAATGAGCCAAACATTTCTATGATGATATGCATTAATTTTAGACCAATAAGTATAACTTTAAAATTAGTAATGGCCCTGATAGTTTTGCAGTCTCAAACCTTCCAGTTCTTACTGGATGCCTTCATGAAAATGTGTACTAAATGACAAATATTTTAAATTTTTTCTCTTCTAAATTTTGCTGTTTTATAATGATGCGCTATTATGAAATGAATATATTGTCTCTTTTAGCACATGCTAAAGATGCATTGGAATTATCAAAGATGCAGGAGCAAACAATACAGATTGAAAACCAGAAGAAAATCAAGGTAAACACAAAACCAGTTTCTGGATGCATCAAAGTATATAAAGCTATAGCTGATGTAATCAGGTCTAGGATTTCATGATATTATGGGCCAATATTTACAAACAGTCTGTAAATTTATGGACCATTTTTTGATCAGTTAATTGACAGACAAAAAAGTTGAAGAATTTGATTACTTTCATTTTTGTGTCGCCTTGAAAAAGGCGACATATAGGGGTTACTTTTATTGGCGGCGTCCTTGTCGGTGACGTCGTCCCCTTAAGCTTGTCCGGAGCATAAGTCAGTCATTATAAGTCGGATTGACTTCTAACTTGGTATACATGCTTCTTATAATGAACCGAAGTGCAGTGCTTAAGAACCGGTACTATGCACTTCTTATTTTTTTAGTTATTGCCCTTTGTTAATTTTCAAACTTTATTTTTGTACGGGCCATTTCTCCTAAAGTATAAAAGCTATGGACTTGAAACTTCAAAGGATGATAGATCTCATTAAGAAGAAGTGCAGTGCACAAGAACTGGTACTCTGCATTTCTTATTTTTTGAGTTATTGTCCTTTGTTAATTTTCATACTTTATTTTTGTCCAGGCCATTTCTCCTAAAGTATTAAAGCTTTGGACATGAAACTTCATAGGATGATAGATTTCATTAAGAAGAAGTGCAGTGCACAGAAACTGCTGTTCTGCATTTCTTATTTTTTGAGTTATTGCCCTTTGTTGATTTTCATATTTAATTTTTGTCCTGGCCATTTCTCCTAAACTATATTGTTCACAAGGCGACACATCCGACTCGCGGAGTTCTAGTTCACTTTTACCAAAACTTTCTTATTCATTTCAAAATTTGTTTTGAAACTTGTCTCAATCAATAAAACAAATAAAGCTGCAGATTTTAGTATTGCATTAAAAACAGCAATGATCACATTAAATGCCTGTAATTTTATGGATTGAAAAATCTAAGTTTCTAAATGCTAGACAATCCATAAATTTATTTGCTTGTCAATTATTAATAAGAAATCTTGATCTCATAATATTTATTAAAGATTTAAAAACAGTTTCAGATTTGTAACATGGAATGTCTATGTAATTAGATAAATATGAATAGTGTACTAAGAGGAATAACCAGTAAAATGTCCAGGAACAAAATGCTATTGTTAGTAGACCCATTGAGTGAAGATTTAGTTGAGATCGAGATTGATTGCATGAGGGTAACAAGGCCTTTTCCCACGTGTACAGAGGCCCTTCCCTTAAGTTTGGGGAGTAATGTAGTATATTTGCAAAAGTGGAAGGATAATCTTGATATAAATTGAATTTAAGAGAGGGTTGGGGGAAATGCATTGTTGTAAAGAATTTTCAATTTTTTTGTGTAACAGCCCCTGCTATAAAAGGACAAACAGACCTGGCCCTGACTTATTCAAATAAACCTTGAAAACCTTGGTTATGGATTATCTTTCCTTGCCTTGTTAAATGGAAGAAAGATTTTCACTTGTGTAATTTATAAACTTTTGTTTTTGATTTCTTATGCAATCCATTTATGTCTGCGATATTTGTTTTAATTGCAGGACACAGATAAGGGTGTTTGATTAAAATAATATACAGAGTCTGAGGGGATCTATATCAACTATTTATATATAAAGATATTGTTTGACCTTTAAAACATTGTCATTTGTCATATCAAACAGAACTTAAATGGCTCAAGACTTGAGGAACTGGCTGCCAATTCTGTTAATGAAGTCTGTTGAACAGACTCCATCAACCAATTAATAACAGGATTAACAAATTCTCATTCAATTTGAATTACAGGAGATGGAAGGCCAAATAGAACAAATGAAATTGGAGCAGGCTCGAGTAATGGAGGAGGAGAAACGTAAAACTTTACGTGAAGAAACAAAGTTGAGTCAACAAAAGTCACAATACCAGGATCAACTAGCTAGAAAAAGATACGATGACCAGCTAGCACAGCAGGTATTGTTTCTTACGTATACAAAGAAATTTTTGCTTGGCAAACAAATTTCATATTGCTAGATTACATACAAGTAAGGCTCCCACGTTTACAATTTTTTGTAAACATTTACATGATTGTTAAGAACCAAATTGATATTGTTTAAATGGTGGTACTTCTATGTACTATACTACACCATGTATTCAAGTTGCAAAATGATGAATTACTTTCTATTTTTAACACATGTACAAATGATTATAATGTTCTGGGCTCATCACGATTGAGTCGCAGTGTATCCTCATTTCGCTCTTTTGAAAGATGAAAGGAAAATCAACTTTATCAAAAATGTCACAAGCGATTATTACACCATAATGCTGTGTTGAGGGTTGTTAACACATATTTTCCGTTTTTTACTTTGGAATAAACCAATTAGAATTGATAGAATTCATGAATACAGGCAATGATTACGATATTTTGTAAGACAAAATGGTCATTTCGATTAAATGGTAAAAATTATCGTAAACATTTACGAATGAAATCGAAAGGAATCTGTTGAAGCGTGTAACCGTGGGGGTCTTACATACTAGTATGTTAATAAAAACCCTGTTGACAAGATTTCTTTGCTAGCCATCAAGTAAAAACAAAAATACATAAAAACATTCACATTTATCAGTTTTACACTTCAGGGCCAATTAAAAATGTCTTGCTTTGTTGCAAAACATTTTTATTGACATTTTCCTCAAATGGAAAGACAATGTTTTCTTATCTCCATATACAAATAATGGAATGTGCAACTCTATGTAAATTACAGAGATTTAATATCTTGGAACCAGGCAAAAGAAGTCTTTAAAGATGGAATAATAGAACTACTAGAAATTTATCATTTATGTTTTTAAATTCATTTAGCTTTTAATTTACTTTTGTTTTCAAAATATTCTGCATATTGAGTATGTATACAATATTTCAGGCCAGATTGAATGAAGAAAACTTAAGGAAGCAGGAAGAGTCTGTACAGAAACAAGAACAAATGAAGAGAGGTAATGTAAATCCATCTTGTAGTTTGGTACTGATATCCCTTAAAAATTGAATGGAATGTTCCAAATTCATAACAGAGGGATTCCATTACACAAAGTCAGCTGGTTGAGGGTTAAGAACAATTATGATGTGAATAAGTAATACCTGTAATATGTACTAACATATTTTCTTCAAAATCAGTGTCTGAGAATGCTTCAAGTTGATTAATGTTATGCAATACAGATGTATTGTTAACCTAAATTTAAAAGTGCCAGCTGCACAAAGGGTGGAGGTAGAGTATAGATGGGAGTCATCATTACCAGTATAGTCTGTACATATTAACTAACATCTTTTGTTACAGTTGCAACTTCAGGCCATCCTTAAAAAAATGTTTGTTTGCAGTAACGCGACCGACTCGCAAAATTTGCCCCTACTCAAAATTTTTTTTCATGGTCTGGATATAAAAAAATTTTTTTTTGAATCAGAAAATTATGCCTTTTGCTTTGTTTTCGTTCTGTTAAAGGTTATTAGAAGAAATAAAATGTAGGTCTTTAACTAAATAAGAATTCAGTTATCAATTTATTAATTGTTACCAGATTATCAAAGCATATATTGTCCAGCATTTTGAAATTCCATGTTTATTTGGGAGTACTGTAAGTTCAATAAAAAAAAAAAAATCGACCTACCTACCCACCTTGAAAATTCTGAGTCGGGTTACTGCAAACAAACAATTTTTTAAGGATGGCCTAATAAACAAGCATGTTTACCTTCACAAAACTGTACAATTATTGGACCTAATACTGAAGGAAATTTATTTTCTTTGTAGCATTGGTTAATATTGATTGTAGAATACAATTACTCGTGATATTCAGTTTCAAAGTTTAATGTGTTTTTTATGTACAAAAGGGAGTATGGAGTACCAGGCAGAACTTAACCACAAGAATGATATGAAAAGAATAGAGGCGGAGTTACGGGGAAAAGCTAAAATAGACAGAGAGAACCAGGATATCCTAAAAGAACAAATACGCCTGCGAGCACAGGAAGATAGAAAAACAAGACTGGAATCTATCAAGTAAGTACTGGACTGTATTAGAAAAAAAATAAAGAAAATTAAGGAGAATTTTTGTAATTAAGATTGTAATCTCTTATGCTAGATTTTCTACCTATATTTATGTATTATTGATGAAGTCAAATAGTGTCGGGCATTGTTTTAAAAAAAAAACATCAAGTAAGAACTTTGTAATGATCTCAGCCCTGAGAATAAAAGGTCAGGAGAAAAAATGCTGTCCAGTTAGACAATTTAACCTTTTTGCTTAAATTTTTAGATGTAAAAACTAATTTTCAAAGCGCAAAATTAATATTATAATATAAAGTGAAAAAGTATTTTCAAGGTATTTTGTCATGTTTACAGGACAGCAGGAGCTGTGCTAGGGGAAGGATTTAAAGCATTTATATCAGACTGGGACAAAGTGACAGCTACTGTAAGTCAATGAACTATTTGTAAGAGACTGTATCATATATTAACGCTTGCTGAACTTGTCCATCTGGCATCTTCCATTTTTGGAACTGTTCTATTATCAACATACGGAATATAAAGGTCAAAATTTGAAGTTTTTCAACCAATGGTATAGAGCCTTGTCAGATTATTCAGATTTGCAAGCTGTCCTGGCTCTATACTGGTGACAACAGCTAACCATTTTTGGGTTCTGGTGCTTGTGGGCGTGGATAGTTGAAGCATTTACCACTACAGTCCATGCTCAGGCTCAGTCAAGCTGAGCCTACAACATTTTCATTATAGCTGTTAAGGTGTTTGTTAGGGACTCTGTTTTTCTTTATTTCTTAAATTTAATATATGAATTCAGTCATCCATTGAACAGGCTAGATACTCTTTAACAATAGTATCTGTGACAGATTTTATACTTTCCTAATTTGTATACAGTGTAACTTCCGAAAACCGAACACCCATGGGACTTGTCAAAAAGTTCGGATTTCAGAGGTTTCCGGAATTCAGAGGTTTATGATAATGTGGACAAGACAAAGCCATCGTCCGATGCTAGTTAATTAATTATTACATCAAATGCAATAAAATCCCTAAAGACGTTTGATGCACACATTGTCTAATTAATTGTCATTTAATCCGCTTATAAACACTTCAAATTAACTGACCGCCGTAAATTACTTTGATTAACCGCAGGGCCGCATTACTTCAAACATACCATTTTACAGTTTGTGATTTTAACGCGTGTCAAATTACACGATCACCGCTAATTAGTAAACAATCGATAGAGAGATTAAATCTTCCTGCGGGGTAAACATTCTCGATTTACAATGTATTTCACACCTTTGGATATTTCCGGTTTTTGGAGGTAAAATTGCATTGATTTGACTCTAATTTTACGAAAATATCGTCCGGAATTCAGAATTTAGAAGTTCCGGAATTCAGAAGTATTATATTGATAGAAAATAGATAGGAAAAAATCGGGACCGAAAAAAATGTTCGGTTTTTAGAAGTTTCCGGATTTCAGAAGTTCCGGAATTCGGAAGTTACACTGTATTTGTTTAATTATTAGTATAAATTGTTATTTAATGAACAACAGTTTCTGTTAAACCTTCAGATGTATTTGCTGAGGTGCATTTATCCATTTTGCAAATACTTTCAGTATGAAAAATTATTGCATGAAATATTTTATAGTCAAACATTAATTATGATTTTAAGATGTAAGTGTTTGTTTACAGGCTGCAGGGATCACGCTGGCAGCTGCTGGTATATATGGTGCCAAATACAGTATAGGTGTAGCTGCCCGGTACACAGAGGCTCGCCTTGGTAAACCATCACTAGTTAGAGAAACTTCCAGAATTACTGTCTTAGAAACTCTGAAACATCCAATCAAGGTAAGGCTTTTCATAAACTGGCCTCAAGGGTATAAAACTTCTTTCTGAGTTCTGTCTCAAATCTCAGGATTTTCATTGGTCAGTGTACAGTCAGTGGCAGTTTCTGACCAATCAAATACCTGAGATCTGAGTTTGACCTTAGAAACATTCTTTATAACCTTGGATCCTGTTCTATTCACTTAAATATTGAATCTTTAAGAAAAATAAAGCTATTCCTTACATATGCGTTCACTTAGTTAATTCAGGAAGAGATTTCAGCTATTAATTACATTTAGCTGAATAAAGCTCTGTTAAGTTTAAGCATCTTTGCAGGGCCGGCAAAATCAATTGTCCGTATTGCCCATGTTGTCCCACAGACTGTACGGACAAGTGAAAATTTTCAAGAATTTACTATGTAAATATCATACGGACAAGTTAAAAAATGCTTCACATAAAAACGGACAAGTAAGTCAAAATCAGATTTTGCCCGCCCTGCTTTGTATTTCTGAAAAAGTGGTGCAGCAAATATTTTCTCATTCTTGACATTTTCAAGAAAGCAGAATGAAGAAAACACTAGTTTACATAATTATGCTCATGTGAAAACATGTAGATGTGAATGGGTAAAAATTAATTTCTTGTTATTTATTACTTACAGATCGGAAAGAAAATATTTAAAAAGAAAGAAGAAGTATTAAGTGGTATTATATTAAAGGTAGGTGATCAGGGGCTTGACCTGTTTTACTAACATTTCTTAAGATTTTCGTAATTATTATTTGAACTTTATTTGTGTGTTTCACAAAAGTTGTGAGTTTTTTCTTACACATACGTTTAAATAGTTCTTAACACTTCAGTGGAGGTTTTTAGAATTCTTCAATTACAAGGTATTTTGGGAATATTTATCAGAATATCAGAAAAATCAAGTTGGTGACGGCAAAACATTCATTGACATGAAAGCTAAACTAGAATTTTGTATGGTCATCAACAGACACCCTGATAGGCCTATAAACTGACAATAGCTAGTAATATTGAGGGAGTCAAAACCATATTTTACTGATATTTCAACATGAATTTTCCTTACCCAAGAAATCCAGATCTGAATGGCTTCTTTTTGTTAAATGTGTCTTTGTAAGGTTTTTGCATTCTTGAGCATTGTTTCAAAGTATTAGGATAAATGGTAAATGTCAGTTGCTTGTAGTTTGTTTAAATCCCATTTTTTACATAAACTTTTACACCTTATTGGGAATGAATTTGATCAACTAGGAAATTTTTGGGTCTTGGAAATTTGGGGGAAAAACAGTTTGTGACAACAGTCAAATTTTAAATTTTTATTGATAATTATATACAGTGACAAAATAGGTATATATGCCACCTGGAATGGGTTGTAAGAAAGGAAAAGAATACACTGACCACAAAAAAGTATAATTACTAAATGTAAGCTCAATAGATAAAAAAATATTGTAATAAATGTTAATAAAGTGATTAATAGTTTTAAAACTTTTAATATGGTATGCAGTATGTTTTCTTGGGTTTACAACTTTTGTTCAGTGGAATTTTTGAATTTAATTTTCTTTGCAGCCAGAATTAGAGGAGAGATTGAGAGATGTTGCCATAGCAACAAGTCATACTAAGAAGAACAATGGTTTCTATAGAAACTTGTTAATGTACGGACCACCTGGAACAGGAAAAACAATGTTTGCCAAGGTAATTATTGTATTATTTTATGTCGTATAAAATATAGTATGAAAGTATGTTTTATAAGTAGACTGCAGGATTTGTGTGGTAGAGTAGACAAAGTGAGCTATTATGATCACCTTCTGTCCAAAGTAAGCAGTTTTACTTACTCAACACTTCCTCAACCGCTCGGCCAATAGTAATTAAACCATACAGGAATGATTCTTATGAGGTTTTCAATAGAAATTCCTCAAAAAGGTTTTGATCTACTGAACAAGATGGCCCCCAGAGCTTAAGTGGTCCTTTACTAAATTGTGAGTTCTTGTTTGTTTAGATTCTTGGGCAAGGCAAAATTTCTGCCTGACATTAACAGTAGTCTAATGGTCATTGATCTTCCACCTCTGATTCAGAAATCATTTAGGATTAATAGTTGATCACTGACTGAGAAATGAGTGATTATTGGTTAGTGGTAACTTTTTCTGGAATGCCTGATAAATGGACAGACTGCAAAGATATGACCAAAACTTGTTTTGAAACCAGCATAAAAATAAAAACAAACCAAGTTAATCAACTTTTGTTTCTTGACTTATTTCATGTTTATATATAGATGGTTTAATATTTCAGAATTTAGCCAAGCATTCTGGTATGGACTACGCCATAATGACCGGAGGTGATGTGGCACCCATGGGTAAAGAGGGAGTTAGTGCAATGCATAAAGTATTTGATTGGGCACAGACTAGTCGGAAAGGGTGAGACAACTTGTTCTTCAATGAGACCCATATATATGCCTACCAGTAACTGCAGTATTTAATCAATAAAAAGTTGGCAAAAGTGGCAGTTTTTCCTACAATGGTGCTTTTAACTTCTCTATTCAATATAAATATACATATTTTGGTTGCTGCTGTCCAACTGACTAGTAAATTTCACAACTGAAAAGTTTTCCTAATTGTGCAGACGTAAACCTGTTCCCAAAAGGGTGGAAAAAATACTTAACCGTTAAAATTCATGTAGAAAATCTGGAAACAAAGTGATCACTCTGAAGCATTAATCACAACAAAATTACATGAAAACTGTTGACTCGGTTTGATTGAGTCTGTACAAGTGGGATATAATGAAAAAATGCAACATTCCTCACACCCACTAGCACTGTCTTGATCAGTACTCAATTTTCAGAACATGTTGTTTGGTTATTGGTTTTAATTATGTTTTTTTTCAGTGTGTTATTATTTGTGGATGAAGCTGATGCATTTTTAAGGAAAAGAAATAGGGTATGATAAAAATTCTACATTTAATTCATGTTTATTATAAACAAAAATTATATATTTCGACCTGCCCTGGGTTTATTTTTACCTATCCATTTCTGATAACAGGTGTGTCAAAGCATTACATATCTAAGTATTCAACAGTATAGCACATGGCGGCTTGGTCAGAGTGTAAGAATAATGCAGGCAGACATTTCCTTCTATGACTGCTGTAAGTTCAACTGTTTTGGAGGTGGAGGTCAGATGCTTAAGAAAAAAAAATAAAAAATTAAGAGATATTAATACGATTTTTTGAGTTGTTACAATGTATTTATGACTAATATGTATGTAAGACATAATTATTGTAAATCATTGTCTTTGAAAGAAAAAAGGTGTCCTTGGCAGAGCGTTAAGGTTGTTGACCCTTTACCGCTGTGGGTTTAAATCCTGACAGTGATTTTGGATTCTTTCATGTGAGGAGGCTATTCAGCTAGCTTACTGAATGTCAGTGGTTTTATTCGGGTTTTAATGAGATCATCCTCAATCAGTTAATCAAGAAATTCGCCATATGACATATACTGTGTTGGAGCAACCTAAAACCCAACCAAAAAAAAAAAAAAAGAAATAGATAAAAAAGGGCTTTATTCCCCTCTGTGAATGATTGAGAGGGACTTATATTTTTGGGGGGGATTCCCATTTTGTGTATGATAGTTATAAATAGAGACATATATTTTCAGGAATTGATAAGTGAGGATATGCGTGCAACATTAAATGCCTTTTTATACAGAACAGGGGAACAATCAAATAAGTAAGTTATCTAGATTTCTGTCGGAAATTTCAATCATTATGTTTGAATACAAAAGGGAAATCATCTTTGAAAAAAATATGAATGGAAATATGAGATAAAGTTTGTTGTGGATTCATGGAATTATTTGACAAATACTGTATTGGTTAACAATTTAGCATGTTAACGTCCTTTAAAGCAGTATGTTACTAGATTTGTCTTGATGTCGTGATATTTCTGAAAATTTGTTCTTGTGAGTTTTAATGTTGAAAAATGTACAGCTTGTGAACTTAAGCTTTTACTATTCACTGAATCTACGTATAAATTGAAAAATATGTAGAAAATTTACTTTTCTAACAGGAAAGAAAGATATTTGTATAAATCATAAACTTTAAAATTTTAGTCATAAAAGATTGTTGTACATAAATCGTATTTGTATAATGTTTTCAAAGTTATACGTTGATTGTAAGTATTTGTATATTTCTTAATATTTTCAAATGATTTCCACAAGTTGGAAGATAGTGAAAATCTATTTTCCTAATCAAGACTAGAAAATAGCAGTGGAATCCTAAATAGTCAGAGAAGTTTTTGAGATTTGTTATTAATGTATTATATTATATGGTGAGAACACTTGACAATCCAGAGTTCTCGCAAAAATACTGACGTAGTTAAAAGTTTAGAAGTTCGGACTGACCTTGCCAAATATCAATAGCATAGGCAAGCCTTCATCAGAATCTAAGTTTTATAAATTAAAAAAAAAACAAAACACTATTTGTTTTACAGATTTATGATAGTTTTAGCCAGTAATACACCGGAACAATTTGACTGGGCTATAAATGACAGATTAGACGAGATGGTGGAATTTTCTCTACCAAATCTAGAGGAGCGTAACAGATTAGTACGACAATATTTTGATAAATATGTTCTCCAACCAGCATTTGAGGCTAAAGGGTAAGCTTGATGTATGATATGCTCTCAACTTCCTTGTATCAGTTACTTTAAGACGCCTTGATTTAACATGCAGTCTCCACTGCATGTTAGGTCGTGGACTTCAAATAATTTGCCCCTCACCTCTGTGGGTTTGAATCCGGACAGGGACTTTGGATTCTTTCATGTGAGGAAGCTATCCAGCTAGCTTACGGAATGTCGGTGGTTCTACTCAGGTACCCGTTCGTGCCTTAAATAATGCACGGAAGGGCACCTGAGGTCTTCCTCCACCAGTAAAGGTGGAACGTCGCGATATGACCTATACTGTGTCGATGTGAAGTAAAACCGAAAACAAACAAACTGCATTTGATGAAAGTGAATCATGTGAATAAAACATTATTGGGTCTGCTGGTTATTGTAAAAATGCTTAATATTATAATTTTACAAAATATTCCTTTTCTACATTTTTATATATTAAGCATAAGAACTGAGTTGAAATAAAAAGCAAAGAAAGAGAAAGAATTAAAATTCAGATTAAAAATGAGAAAAAAAAAATACTATGATCTGTAACAACTATATCTTCTATAGACAGTGGTTTCTGTACTGATCAGGGGAAGTAACTGCTGCAGGGAATTTGATATTTACTGACACTCTTTTTGAGTCTGATCATAAAGATAATAGTTTAAATTAGTGTGTATATCCAGGCAACAGATTGATAAAATATATTATAGACAGTTTAAAACGTGAAAAGGGGATAGTTTATTGTAATTGATTATTCTAACCTGAATTGGTAGATAAAATTATAAACAATTTCATATAATGCTGTCTGAACTTATGAGTAATAAGTTTTGTTATAATTTGATTGTAAAGATATGGGGGAGAAAGATTTTTGCATAGATTGTAGCATATGTAATCAATCCTCCTATTTATAATATTATCTGTGGGTCTGAGACTTGCTTTATTGTTATACAAGGTCATTTTTACTGTGTTTAGAAATGCTAATGAAGTTTTTGTGTCAATGTTTTTATTAAAGGAGATTGAAGGTGGCCGAGTTTGACTATGACAAGAAATGTACAGAAATAGCAGAAAAAATAGAAGGATTATCTGGCAGAGAAATCTCAAAATTAGGTGTTGGCTGGCAGGTAAGACTCAAATTTTTGAAATAAAAGTTCAGAACAATGCATCAGTTAAATAGAAAAAAGCAGCACCAACGATTCTCCATCCTCAACTGTAGAGAAATAACAGGGACTTTGACTTTTGTGTAAAGGCTGCCTTAGAAGGACAGGCAGTAACCTGTCCCACACGTTGAGCTGAATATTCCGTTGCTATTTTGGTGCTGAAAGAAAATCATCACTTTGATCTGGTAGAGCTGGATCAGAATGGAGGTCAAAATTGGAGGATTTTCATCCTTGCCCCCTGTATTGCCATTACGTAAGGGATGGGGGGGGGGGGGTGAAGGAAGCAATTTGACTGGCGCATTACTTGTAAAATAAGATGAATACTCAATCATGAGAGTTATTGCATATTTACAAACTTCAATGTCATGTACAATTAGGGTTTTTGTTATATAACCAAAGTTGTCTTAAGGACTTTTCGTCCAGTAATGATATGTCTAATTTACATACAGTTATTCATAAGGTAGGGATATTGTGATACTGTGATACTGTTGTTTTCAGGCTGCAGCGTATGCTTCAGAATCCGGTGTTCTAACGGAAGCTATGATAGACGAGAAAGTCAAGGACGCCATGAAGTCACACGAGAAGAAGGTAATTTGGCAGGAAGATCACTCCATATATACAACGGCTGATCAGCGTACATTATCACAGAAGGCGGCCTCCATGGTGATCCCCAAAGCACCGGCTGTTCCGGAAAGCTGATGATTGACATGATTTAGATGTTACTAGGATTATTTGAACAATTATAGGATTAGAAATTGTTACGGACCATATACGTAAGGTTTCAGTGACCTTAATATGGTTTCAAGGAAGTATGTCGACTCGTACAAACATACCAACTTGTTAAGACAGATAAATGGACTATTCTAAGGTATTAGACCTGAAGTTGAGGAAGGTGGAAATGTAAGACATGCCAGAAAGGATCATATTTTAAATAGTTAACAACAAAAGAATTTGTTATGTTTAAGGAAGACATGTTCAGTTTTAAGTTTTTATATTAATTCTTATAGTCCTTGAAAAGCATAAACAAAAAAACAATTTTCATCAGATTCAAATTTTCAAAATTTATAATTAAACATATATATTGTGAGTTGTTATTAAGATGTAAAATTATTTGTGTTAATAGAGAGAAAAAGTTCATTTAATAGAGTAACAAGCATGTTGCAAATTTACTGACATTTGACAAGGTAATTATATGTATTCAAGAAAAAAATGTACACTTGTTCGAGATAATTTGAGATCATAAGCCTCAACATGATCCTGTCTTTAGATCCAGCAGCTTGGAGTCTCTCTTATGTTTGACAGCTCTAAGCTGGTTCCAGCTGCTGGAGATAATCTTTTAGAGAGAACATCTATGGGTTTCATTAATCAAGAAAAATTTTATGTGCTGGTATACCAAAAACCAAATAACTATTTTAAAATTAGCACGAAAAAGCATTTGTCATTCTTCGTTAATAACCATTGTGCTTCCACTGCCATGTGTCGCTGTGTGACACAGTGATTTAATGTGTGACACAGATATTTAATGTGTGGCCCATTTATTAAAATGATTTAATGTGTAACACTGATTAAATGTGTGAGACTGATTAAATGTATGACACACTGATCTGATGTATGACACACTGGTTTAATGTGTGACACAATGATTTTGTGTGTTCATCAGTGATTTATATGATTTATTACATGACACAAATTATATGTGTGACACATGATTGAATGTGTGACACAGACTTAATGATGTGATGTTACAATGACTGTTTAATTAAAGAATCATGTTGTATATTTTGAAACTAAGTAGTGATGTGTTGTTTTAATATTGGTAAATTTGTAATAAAAACAATAAAATGTGTTATGTATCAAACTATATTTTGTTAAATTACTTTAGAATCCCAAATATTTAAATTAAGACCGCATTTTTTGTATAATATAAAACACCAAACTTATTGACAAAGGGAAAACCTAGGTCTTTAGTGTTCATGATAAAATATGCATTCATGTTTCTGTACATTATATAGGTATGAACATATAATTATATGCATACCATACTGTTTTAAAGTGAAATACAATTTGATTAATGAAAAGAACCAGATTTCACTTGTATACATGCATTTAAATTGTAAATATTTTTGTAACTAACTTGATAGTGAAAGTAAGGAACAATTGCACTGTGATGATTTAAAGCAATATAAATGTTTGCAAGAATTGAAATGTATTTCATGAACACAGTCTATCTTCCATACATACTACATTTTATAATGTACTATGCATCGAAACGGGCGTCCCTGGCCGAATAGTTGACTTCAAACCACTTGCCTCTCGCCTCTCTGGGTTTGAATCTGACTGGGACTTTGGATTCTTTAATGTGAGAAACTATCCAACAGCTTATGGATGTCGTTGGTTCTACTTGGGTGCCCGTTTGGACATTTGCCACTTTGCCCCAGTTCGGACAGTTGCTAAGTAAAAACTTAAGATCTTTTCCTCAGTGCATAAAACATTGGCCTGTGGACCTCTAACAAGTTTGTTTAAATGACAGATCTGGTGTCAAAATGTGCCTCATGGGATCAAACTGCACCTTAAAAAACCATCTGAACCAACCAGCTTAGGTATTTGGCTCGAACATTTCAGTAAACAGCTACCAAGTTTGTTCAAATTATGGCCCATTGGTCAAAATTGGCCCCACTTCTTTAAAGTTATAGGTTTTCTTTATAGAGGTTTATATTTTGTAAAAATATTGAAAATATTTTTAAGCACCAAAGGCTGGGATTTAGATATTTTGCATGAAACATTGTCCAGTGGACCTCAACCAAGTTTATTCAAATAGCACAGGGTGAAAATTGGCAATGCCTTGGGGGGGGGGTGATAATGGGTTGACATTATATGTGTATAGAAGCAACCAGCGCATACAATAGCACCCATTGACTTTCTTCGCAACGTTTGACTTCCCTAAGCAACAAGGAACTTCCCTTTGCAGCCAGTGCTTCTGTTTGCAATTATTGACTTTCTTTGTCAACCTGTGACTTCCATAGCAACCATTTACTTCCCTTAAGAACCACTGACTTCCCTTAACAACCACTTTCGTCAGGAATCGGGGACTTTCATAGCAACTTTTGACTTCACTTAGCAACTAGTGGTTTCCACAGCAACCAGTTATTTCGATAGAAATCATTGACTTTCCATATAAACCAGTGACTATAGTAACCATTGACTCATTTACTTTCCTTCGAAAGCTGTTTTACTCACCCTGGCTTCAGTGTCACGCTCTGGTTACTTTTTTAACATGCAATATGGTATCTTCAAAAGTACGTTGAAACATCACACACTCGTTCTCTGTGATTATGTGACTTAATGGGTACATGTCCCATAACTCCGAGTTACCTTTGTACACAATAATGTCCCTTTTTATGCCCCCATTCTACGCTAGGGGCACTTTGATTTGCCCTTGTCCGTCCGTCCGTACATGCATTCGTGTGTGCGTGCGTTCCTGTGTTGTGTCAAACGTAGCTCTAAAAGTGCGGGAATTAGTCCACAAACTTTACATAAATATTGATCTTCATTTGAAGTTGTGCACATGTGGATTAGTTCAGTTTTGATTAATTTAGTAATTGCCCTTATACATATACTTATTTATTTTTTTCAATTTGTGTCGTGCATAGCTTAAAAGGTTTGACCTAGAAACATGACACTTAACAGGAATGTTGGTCAGTATGTGCAGTTTTGCTCCTGGGGGTTTGCTTGTGGATTCAGTATTTATAGAGTTATTGCCCTTAACTTAGTAAACATTTGCAATTTTCAACTTTTGTCACGCGTAGCCAATAATGTATTTGACCTAGAGTAATGAAACTATAGAAATGGGTCAGCATGTGTATTTGTGCACCCGGGGCTTCACCTGTGGGTTAATACAATTTTTGTAGAGTTATTGCCCTTGACTTTGTAAAAATTTACAATTTTCATCTTGTTTCGCACGTAACCCAAAAACTTTTTGACATGGAGTCATGAAACCTTACAAGAATGTTAGTTAAATTTTTTTTGTGGGTTTTCTTGTGAATTTATTTAATATTTGTTATTGAATACGACACCAAACAGGAAACTAATCGCTCACTGGTTACTGATATACCAGTTTCTCGTTAACATGTGCAAGATGGATATAACCTTCTTGCATTACCTGAGTTGGTAAGATTTCGTTAAAATTGACGAAGGTAAAAGAGCGCCATTAAAATCTACATTTTATTTGCACCATTTAAAGAAGTTGCCAATGGATACTCCTTGAAAAATCCTTTTATTCCTTAAATCATTACTATAAGTTCACATAAATTCGGAAGCCTTCTTCATCTTCTGTATGTACGTAATGTCGATATATATATTTGTTCTTCTTTGATAGTTTTATGATAAAGTACTGTCTAGTATATTGAATCTATTATCGCGTGATAAGGCGGACTGATAAAGCTATTGGATTTTGATTATAGGAAAGTTTGTTTAGTTGATAAGTACCTTTATTTATCCTTAATTTAAATAAATGTGTTACAATGACGCAGTCCATAAATGTGGTAGCGACTGGGTCATCAATACCTGTTATGTGTATCACGTGATACACATTGTCAGGAAAGTCGGTCAAGCAGTGTGCTACACATAATATAACTCTTTGTGAATGATAGTCTTAATGCTAAGTTTTGATCCTGCAACTATCTCAGAACATTTTCATTTTGACTATAATATATGTCTACAAAATATAGATGTCATAATTGATTTTCAATTAAAAAAAGAACTTTTGGAAAAGTGAGCTTTTTATACGTTTGAATCATTATACTTATAATGTTTGTAAAAAGAAAAAATAATGTTTGTAAAAAGAAAAATAAATATAATGGATCCTAAAGTTTTTGGTGTTATTTATATATTATGTTTAGGTGAATAAATCTTAAGATATTGGTAATTTGAAAAAAGAAAGAAAAATGAAATGTTAAAATATATATAAAAGAAAAATAAACATATTGTGTAAAGATATTCCAATGTGTCATTTATAGTATTAATAAATCTTCTCTATCAAAAATGTTCAAACCCAGAAATTGTTTCTCAGGGCCATCTTCTAAATCAGAACTTAATTAATTTACATCTATAGTATTTTAAGTATTTTATAAAAATAAAGCAAATTATTAATTAATCCTCTGAATAAAAATATATAGTCTTAGAGGATATTTGTTTGTTTGTGTGTAAGATGAAATTTTATTTCATCGAGTGGGCTTTAAAAACAGTATTCTCACGAGTGGCGTAATAATAATTATAGAAGTTAAATTGGATGATATGACTTAATCATTTTATTTATAACTATTATAATGTGTTAATAATAACAATAAAAGGCGAATCAAAGTCACATTCAAAAATCAATGCCCTATGACCGACATTTATCAACAAAATACAATATTGCCGAAAAAAAAAATCCTGTACAAGATTAATTTGGCAATTATTATCGGGGATTATTGTGAGATTTAGCGCTATCTTTTATGGCAAGATAAAATAAATAAATCAAAATGTATTTAGGTTCTTGATAGTTTTAAATCAATATATAAAATACTCTTAGGTCACACATATTGATCTTTTGGTCCTTCAAACGTATCAAATACGGGGGTACTGTATAGACGAAAAGTTGCCATACCGAGAGTGCTTATAATTGTATTTCATAGATACATTGGTAAATGAATTTGTTACTATATATTTTAGTACCCAGACAAAATTTCCGAAAAAGCTCCCTTTAAAAATGTAAAATGTAATATGCAGGATTTGTAATATGCAGAAAATATAAGCCAATCAAATGGTAAAGCTAGTATATGGTAGTTGAAGATTCTCAATTGTTTTGCACTGAATTACATCACAATTATGATATATTTCCATCAAAACTTCCGTAAATCATTGTGAATGTTTCATCGTTTATAACAGATGATTTCATGTTTATATTTAAGAAAAAAAATGTTTAATTACATGAACAAGTTAAAGGAACTCCACTGAGGTAAAAAAACCTAAAAACATACATGTAATTTGAATTTCGTACATAGATCATTTCGGACACTTAGTTTTAATACAAAGACATGCGAAAGAAGATACTAAAAAAAACCAACGAAAATCGTATTTTTTGTTCTATTCTTAGCCACATTTTAGTGAAAAGCGATTCTTTTCAATTTTGGTTCATTTTTCACAAATTATTCTGGAAAGAAACGAAGGTAGCGAATGATCTGAAATTTTATACACATTAACTTTATCTCGAGAAATATGACATAATCTCCGGTGGAGTCCCTCTACCGTTTAACAGACATGTTGTGTCAATTTAAAATACCTCCTTATAATTTTTTATTTTAGTGTTGAAATATGAGACATATACTTCCTGTTTTAGTTTTTATGTAACGTTCTCGTAGTCTCGTAAATAAAATGAGCACGTCTCAAACGCAATCTTGAAAATGTGAATTCAAGTAGATTGTTTAAAACATTTTATTTATAGAAAGCGTAGATTTCTTTAAAAAATACAAACAGTTTGATTTAAATAAACGAATGCCATTAGAAATTCTTGACATCGTAAAACAAACACATATTGATAAAATATTTAATTGTTAAACTTGTTTATCTTCACACGTCTTATTTGTGTATTTTAGGCTTAAAATTAATAAATTTTTTAAAATAGGATATTCTAATGAATGATGAAAGTAGTAGAACTATTATTCACTTTTGTTGTGGGTATGATTTATCTTTAAAACTACGATTAAAGTGTTTGACTACTTTCGACCAAATATTTAATACTTCCTCCTTGTAACCGGCCTGCATGGCAATGTATGTACATTTTTCTTTTTTGGTATCTAAACAGTGTTTTGCTTCATTAGTTATCCCCTGCCAATCACCGTCACTGAACGTTTCATACTTCAATCCTGGAATCTTATGCAGGACATATCCAAACAACAAAACGTCATCGATATGAAAAAACGGCGACTTCGAGGCGGATAGATATAAAGATGGCATTATATCATTCGTCATACTCACAAACTTTCCTTTGCAAAATTTCAGATATCTTTTTACTCCTTTGAAATGACTTTCATCAACATACCATTTTGATGTAAAATCTCTGTGTATAAGATCGGATTTGTATTCACAATAAACGTTTGCCTTGTGTAGCGCTTTAGAATGTTTTAATTTATAGAGATACAGAAACATATTGACTACAATGTCGTCATCAACTTTCAGAATCATCTCCGCATTGCGACATCTCTCCGTAATCCATTTAAAACCCATCACACCTTTATGTGTAAGATTGGTGTAGGAATCTATAAAATCTCCTTGTACAATATCCTTATACTTTTCGAACTCCATTTCAAGCGCAGATTGGACAACGTGACTCGCAGTTATGCCGACAAGAAACACAACTCTGACTGTTGCTAAATACGAGTAATACGTGTCGTTTGTCCAAGTTGCTCTTATACTCTGTCTCTGTTCAAAATGGTCTGTCGCTGAATTAACTACAACAAGCACCGTAAGATTCTTCACAGAACGGCAAAGATGACGGTTCTCAATAACATATGGCGCACTTATGGTTAATGGAACACTCGGATTAGACGCATTTATAATTCGAAATAAATACGGCTGTACTTTGACAGGATACTTTAAATCTTTAGCATCTTCAAAATAAGCATCAGTATCAAACTGGAAATATTCAGTCTGATATCGCTCCAAATACAGCAATGAATTTGTAAATATTATAAATACTAACATTGTGATAGTGGCAAAAATCGTGCATTTCTTTAACTGTCGTAACATGGCTAGATTCGCTATTCTGTTGATTAAATTTGTAATGTAATTAGCTGGATATTCATGGTTTGATTTGAAACGTACCAATAACATAAGTCCTTTCTGCTTTGCTTGTTTTCAAGTTCCCCTTTTAAAGAATCAGGATTTCGAGAGTTCAGGTGAAAATCAAAGCTGCGATCTGAAACGATAATAAAGCAACAACGTTTTATTAACCTTGCATTTTCATTGAAGTAAGTTTTTAAAAGGAATGCTCTTTTTTAAGTGTTTTGTTTTTGAGGTGTTGGTTAATATGATAAAAGTACTCGTAATAGTGATGATGATGATAATGATGATGATGATAAACAGATTTATATAAATATATAACAAAACACGTTCAATTTATTCGTTTCATCTAAGGAATGACTCAAAATAAAATGTTTTACCTGAAGTAGTAATATGATGAACATAATGATATAAGCCCGCTTTCCGACAATGACAAGACAGTTTGGCTTTGATAATTTAATGGTCTTTACTTCTTTAAAATACAATACATGCGACGACGTCATCTTAAAATGCATCACAAGCATGTAATAGTAATATCTATTTGTTGCTTGCACTGGAGCTTGAAATTCAGTCTAAAGTACGACATACCTATATAATACCTAGCTTAATATATATTATCATGGATTTTTTTAATAGGACTTTAGGGCGATAATTGAAAGAATTTCAAGCTCATTCAATTATATCCTGCATGCCAGTCACGTCGAATTTCATAGATAAACACGTCTGCCGCAAATGTATGTTAATTGTTTTGTTTGATTTATATTTAAGAAGTAATTCTGCAGTATTATAATTGCGTTATAAAGATTTGGTGAGGTAACTATGACCGTGTATAAACGGTTTTTGCCCTAGCAACTCGGGTCCTATTTAAGCTTTCAAGTTAATCATTTCTTTTGGGTTATATAACCTGTCATTCAATCTGTATGTCAAAATGTAATACTTTAAACGTACTAAAAGACAATTTTAGATACAAAGATTAAAACTTCGTGTTTAACGCCGTTTGAACATTACTTGTCTTACAGTTGAAACAAAAGATTAAGGGACATTATGTGCACGGGGTGTTATAAATGAGCAATATGCTATCTTTTGAACAAATATTCGGAAAATGATCGTTAAAATAGCCGGCGACCGGCAAAAACAAATACTATGATCTCAAATATTATGTTAATAATATCTTACATAATTATACTATTCAATTTATTAAGCGTGTTTTATTATTTTGAGGTACATAAGAACAGCAATATATTTTTGAATATCCAACATTTAGCATTAAATATGGAAAGTAAATTAATACTATTTAACACGCGAGCGTTACAAGTCCATACTTGTAGAAATACTGTATTCTCATTGACTACCTGTCAAAATTATTGATAATATATAAACGCATCATTTGCTGGGACGTTTTCTTACTGGTCACACCGTAAACAAACAGGTAAAATATAATTCTGTGATGAGACAAGAAAATAATTATTCTTTCAATACCGAGTTGTCCGCTTAGTGTTATAAATGAGAGCGTGTTATGAAATGCAACCCGTAACGTTTAAATCTTTCCTGTCCCCGTCATAAGAATGAATCTATGTTGCATCCACTGTAGACGGAGTTCCAATTAAGGGATGGTTTCAGTCTTGAAACTGTGAAGTTTCGGCTATATGACCGTAGATTTGAGCTTTGAATCTATCAGGCGAAATGGATTCATTAATCTCAATATGTCACAAAGTTCAACTGTATTTCATGAAATAATATTTTTTAATACTAGTAAAGATAAACTAGATTATGCCATCACTCAATCCGACAAAAACCTGTGTTACCGTTCGTAAGTGCCACTATTGTGTCATATAACTCATATTGAAACACGGGAAGGACGATTTTTTATGGGTTTTTTTTCACAAATAATATGATTATTAATGAACATTTATTTGTTCCGCAAAACGTTTATAAATCATTTACTTATATAAAACAATAGAAATGACAATAATATATACACAGATACTTGTAAAAAGTACAATTGAGCAAACGTTTACAAACACAAAGTTACGAAACACATATGTTTGTTGTTCTGCACTTAAAATAATTATCGGAAAATCTCAGTTTTCTGCATTGAGTAGGGAGGAGCCGAGATGTTAACACCTACTTCAGACAGTCAAAATAATATTCGATTTAAGGTTTAAATTAAACTATGTGTGCAGCATGTTAACAGACCATCGCTTGTCAAATGAAATTGTAACCGTGACAGATTACCATAAAATATGTAGAGACCGTGATCAAGCTAAACTTTTAACACTGACCCAAACAAAACAGTATAGGATTGTATTTGATAAGAGAGTGAGAGGTGGTTGTGTGTCTTTTCCATATGGCTATTGAAGAGTTATTGTATCATAAATGTCAAGGTATGATAATAAAATATGAATAATTTATTGGTTTGTTGTCTTTTATTACTTCTATAACGTCATTGTTTTAAATATCATATACTATAGTGATAAGAGATTTCAAAAAGCTATAGGATTGAACATGTTAAGCAATTGTTAAGCAAAGTATGACTTATCATAAAAATGAACTCTCCAGACAAACCTATCCTCTTGAAAATTGACTGCACCCAAAATCAAAATCCAAGATGGCTGTTTTATATAGACAAAGAAGGAAAAAAGTGGTCTAGAGTGCTGTCCTCCACTACTTATAATAAACAAGACTTTTACCTTAACTTTTTCTAACGAAATCGCTCAGCTTACAGGCTTTGCCTTTCTTACTTTATTGATCGCTTGGTTTTGCTGTACTTTACTTATTTGCCTGCTCCTCTTCGTTATCATCACCGTCGCCCCAGTTCCTTCTTTCGATCGCTTCTACCTTCTCCGTTTGGTCCTTCCTTCTTTAAATATATAGTTGTTGACTTTCTCACTGACATACTTCCATGCTTACCCACTTACTCATGAACGAACGAAAGAAAGAACGGACGTAGTTATAGTAAATAACTTGAAAGTGAATTGCTCTATTTCGAAAGATCTGTAATACAATAAAAATGCGTTGATAATATTTAGAATCAGACATTACAACAATAAAACTGAGGAAGAATTATAAATGGATGTTGTTGGCAAGTGCGAGATACATGATCGGATATTACATATAATATCACAGCAGATAATAAAATGTTATAGAGCAAAATGTTAGTATCCGTCCAATAAATGTTCATACTAAATAACCTAGAACTTTATCAACATTTTTTTGTCAAGCAATGTTTTATAAATATGTCCAAATGATACATGTTTATTGAGTCTTTCAATCCTTGAAATTCTAATGGTAGACAAATCTACATTAAATGTTCAAACGGACACCGGCAGTTAAATTGTGCCTTAATTAAAAACACATTTTCAAAATTTATAAATAAACAACAGAACATAAAACGGTTTAAAAAGTATAAGGTTAATCTATGCACAGCCTTTACTGTAAATTAAATTAACTTCATGACTAGAGATAGATATAAATATAAGAAATATAAATATAAGAAATATAAATATAAGAAATATAAATGTAAGAAATATAAATATAAGAAATATAAATATAAGAAAGGGAAGCAGTGTATTTTATTACTTACTTACCGTAAAGGATTATCCATAAAATGTTAGGTCTTGAACATGTTTTATCATTCACAATTTAACAGGTTTGACAGTTTTATACCAGAAATAGAAGCTTACAATCATTTATTCTAAGTCTTTCGACGAGTTATTCACACATTTAACTGTTTTGTAAATGTACAACAGAGGACAAAAATCAAGTATTTTACCCGCTATTGTACTTTAACTTCCTTATGTCTCAAATATTATTTGCACACAATGTGAACAATATAACATTGATACCAAGCTACTAATCGGCAGTTTCGATTTGTTAAGTCACCAAATCTATTTACCCTTATATTCTTAAAGAATGTTGTAAACACACACACGTTTTCTTTATCTTTAAAAATTAACCATGATAATGTCGGTTGTTTATCATTGCCATCATTAAGAATGCTTGAATGATAAATACTTGTAACTCAGTAATATTGCACACAGATATCTGGCTACATTTAGTGAAAAGATTTAAAATTATTTGTAACTATGTGTTTGTTTTCTCTTTTTTAAATCAATCGTGCGTCTATAAACGCCACATGAAAAATATGTTATAATGCAGATCCTTGCAATTAGAACCGTTAAAGTTTTTAAAAACTGGTAGACTACAATGATGATGATAGGAACGCAAATTTAAGTGGTTTTATCGTAGAAACACGTGATAAATTTGTCTTAATTTTTAGTTAGAAAGAAATGGAAACCAATGTTGTTATTTACGGTGGTAACGCACAGTTATTACAAACTGATCGCAAGACATACAAATGTGATTAAACTCCAAGTTAGAACGACTTTACACTGAAATGACATTAAGTAAGAATAGACTTTGGTTTAAATTTGGTGACTATGTTATTTTTTGGGGTAAAAAAAAACGCACGCTCCAATTCAGGTTAAAGAACAACTGCCAACCCAACGCAAAAGATGACGATTATATGCCCTCACGGTTTTCATAGGAAGAAAATCACTACCGTAATAATTCCCTGCATTTTGAACTATAAGTTGCGGAATTTTATATGACTCATCGTATTAACAGCAGGTGGTGACGCACAAAAATGAATATCCGTCACTTTTTGCTAAAAGAATGCAAAACGTTCAGATAGTTACGTCCCTTTTTCGGCTTATGCCATTTTTTCTTGAATTACTTTAAACAGAAGGTAAGTATGCTATTCACATTAGTTGGTACTGGGATATATATAAATATGAGCCGTGTCATGACAAAACCAACATAATGGGTTTGCCACCAGCATGGATCCAGACCTTGAAACTTGAAACTTGAAACTTTTTATTTAATTAAACGCCTGTTTCTATTTAACAATATTCAACGGCGTTGTACAGTACATATAAATAATAAGAATAAAATTGTGAATGCATAAGAATATGTGGATCAACATCAAGTGAAATAAAAGCTTTTACATACAATTCCAATTAACATATTTTTAAAAAAATGCAGAGACCATAAAATGATAAAACTAAACTGATTGATATACATGTAGCATGAGATAAGATTATGTACATACATGTAACTTGATTACAAATAGATTAAAAAGAATAAAACATTCATTTACATTGCACATTCATCACACTGTCAGTTATCAGTTATACGTTACTCATGTTTATCTCAATTCAGATTTTAAAATAGTGATTCAAACTTTCTGAAAAAATGTGTTTTAAGATTTTTCTTAAATACATCAACATTCTTGGATTGTTTCAACTCTAATGGCAGCGGATTCCACAATTTTGGACCAATAGTTCCGAAACTTCTGTCACTAAATGTTTTTCTTTTATTGAATGGAATAACGTAGCAGTTCTCAGAGGTTTTAGCTGAACGTAGTCGGGTATTTGGTACTTGTTTGGTTAGGAGTTCAGAAAGGTATTTTGGAGCATGACCGATTGAACAATTGTATACAAAAGTCAAAATTTTATATTCGATTCTAGATTTGATGGGCAGCCAGTGAAGGTCGAACAGTGCGTGCCTTGAACTGTCAAATTTCTTTCGTTGCAGAACTAACTTAGCGCACATGTTTTGAATACGTTGCATTTTTTTCAATTCAAAATTGGATACACCATAAAGAATGACATTGCAATAATCCAAGTGTGACATTACGAGTGCTATAACTAGTATTTCAGCTGCTTCTTTGGTGAGGTATTTTCGGATACGTTTTATTCTAAGATAGTTTAACATTGCTGTACGGCACTTTCGTTTGACATGTTCCTTGAAATTTAGTGTTTGGTCTAGAAATGCGCCTAAATATCTAATGGACTCCTCGGAGTTGATCTTATCTCCGTTAATACAAATGGATTTTAGGTGACACTTTTCGAGTTGTTGAGAACTTCCAAATGTTATGAACTCTGTTTTCGATGAGTTCATCTTGAGTTTATTAGCTTTCATCCAGTTGTTGATATCAATCGCACCATTTTCTAATTCAGCGATTGCAGAAATTTCACTATTTTCTTCAGTCGGTTTAAAACGTTTGGTTGCAGTATGGTCATCAGCGAATCCATACACCGATAATCCAGATGGAATCACGTCAAACAAGGTTCCCGCATACGTTAGGTAGAGCCAAGGCCCTAAACAACTACCCTGGGGGACACTGCACTCTAGTTGCCGTTGAGCTGAGACCGCCGAGTTGACACACACGCGACAGCCCCTAGGACGAAGGTATGAATCAAGCCATTTGAGCACTGAACCGCTCACGCCGTACTGCTTCTGTAGCACGTCGACGAGTATATCATGATCCACAGTGTCGAACGCGGCACTGAGATCAATCGCGATCAGCGCTGTAACTTCTTGTTTTTCCATGGCTGCCAGAAGATCATTAACTAATCGCAGTAGAGCAGATTCACAGGAGTGGTATTTTCTGTAGGCGGATTGATTTGTAGGTAGTAAGTCAGCCAGCCTGCGCATCCGTGCAGTCTGATCAGGATCCATGCTGTTCGCTTACAAACCCTATAACAAGTAGAGAAACTGATAGCGAACAGCATGGATCCTGATCAGACTGCGCGGAGGCGCAGGTTGGTCTGGATCCATGCTGGTCGCAAACGCATTACGTTGGTTTTTGTCATGACACGGCTCATATATATATATATATATATATATATATATATATATATATATATATATATATATATATATATATATATATATATATATATATATATATATATATATATATATATATATATATATATATGTGACAAACTCATTATATTTTCAATTTTAATTTTCATGTATCAATCTGTCACAGGATGAGAAAAATGTACAACCAGACCGCGACCTTTCGTAATACCATTCCGCGGCTTTACCGACCGAGCTATCCAACCACTTACACATTTGCACCTTAAATAATGAAAAGTATATCTACACGCAGCCAATCATTTTTGCTCTTTGGTTATAACATATACGTAGGAGTAAAATAAATCAATAGGAAATAAACAAGACTAAGAGAAATTAAATCCTGGTAAATGAAACGGGAAAACCATTGTCACTGTGTCACATGGTCACTGTTTAAACCGTAAATGCCTGAGGTACAACGTGCCTCATTATTTACCAGGGAACACCGGGATCAAATAACTACAGCTACCTGTATATATAATTTGATCCTTTAGAATATATTCGATCTTTATTTGTCACAAATTTAAATGAATTGATCTGAAGCATCTACCAACAGTTAAAATGTCATTTGGTGCAAGACGAGGCGTACTCTTGTCTTGTAATGTTCCATACCAAAGTGCACCATTTAAGACAAATGAAACCACTATACACTATACACATGTATACAGTGTCGGTATACCACTGTGGTCAGGATTGAAAAACAGAGATAATTGGCTTTATCACATGCTTTTCAAATTATAAATTCACGAGATAATGTTTTGTTCCTAGTTCAGGCATACGCTGATTTGATATATTATGCTTCAAATTTGATATTCAAAAATACTGATAAATGTTATACAGTATTAAGTGTATAAGCAGGGCACAGGAGATATATTACAAATTTAACTCTACACACTACAGGTAAATACAATATGAATATATGAATACATTGTTACATTAAAACCGGCACTTATTTCTAGCAAAGTGAAATATTCCTTTCTGGGTGTTCATGGTTTTTCTAAAAGGCAGACATGTTTTTCAATTGTTGACATATTGGCAAATTATGTAAAGCATGGTGGATTTTAGGTTTACGATGGTAAAGTTCTATATTGGTTGCTTATTTTGTTTAAGTGAGCCGTGTGTCTAAAGTTTATCTAAAGGAGATATTCATGTATTTTGTAAGATTAACATGTAAAGAAATATGAGCGTACGGAAAGGCCATGTTAATCGACACTGATATTGATTCTTACAAAAAAGAGCTTCGAGTGTGTAAGGAGCATTCTGGAAGAGTGTTTTGCTCTTGATCAAAAGATTGATGTCCGTCCCCCTAAAGAAGGTTATTTACTGCAACCGCACAACTTTAATTAGTGAGAAATCTTTGACGTATATTTCTGTATTTGGTACATTGCAATAAAAAAAAGAGATACAGTTTCTCTCAGTCCGCATGTGCATGTTGGGCTATCCACAATAGACCTTCTGGACAGGTCCTCATTCAATGAACTAAATCCTTATCTTAATCTTGTGTGAAGGATTTGGTCTTTACGTGTGTCTGTATTATAGTAAGACGGTGGTATTTTGATATTGAGTTATTTTGGACTTTAATTAACTTACAGTTGGACCAGATCGAAGTGTTTCAGGAATAGAATTCCAGGTGCATATAGTAGAAAGCAGAAATGATTTTGAGTATAAATGTGTTCTGGTTCGAACTGGAGTAAAATCGTCAATATATCTAAGGTTATATGTACTTTGTTGGGTAGGAGTTCGAAGATTTGAAAGATAAGAAGGTGATATATGTTTTTATTTATTAAATTTTATACAATAAGATTAATTTGTGTTTGTTTCTTC